GCCAGCCCAGGCAAATAGTTCGCAAAAACCCTATCTCGAAAATACCTAACACAAAAAGGGCTGGTGGAGTGGCTCAAGGTGTTGGCCCTGAGTTCAAGCTCTGGTACCGCAAAAACAAAATGAAACAAAAAGAACAACAACAAAAAAAACCTGGTATGTGTGTTGCATTTTTTTTTTAAGAAGTCTACTTGGGGCTTCTGTGCTATTTTAAAGGAGATTTCCATTGACTTCTATTAACAAAATACTAAAGAAATTATATGTACAAGGTGTGTCTATCTACTCTTGGATATATGTCAGATGCTATGATGTGGAGCACTGCCAAAATAGACACTTTTGGAATAGAGGTGTTCAAGCACAAACTACTGCATTTACTTACAGATTATTTATATGGTGTAAAAGATGCATTATTAAACTTGCAGATAAGAATTTTTAACTCATGTTTTCTCTTTATCATATGTACTAGATTCAACCCTGTTAATATAGACCAGTTGATGAGCTGCTGCCAACAGATGGGGAAGACAGCTGTGTAATATTCCATTTAGATTACTAAAATGTTGAATCTCAAAAAAGGCCACAGTGGCAGTGCTTGGAGTAAAAATGACCTTATGTAATTTGAACTGTAATCATGCCAGTTATTCTCACTCAATGTTGCATTCTAGAGTAATGCCATCATGTCAGTGGTGTCACCTGCCCTGTATACACAGATGACTCACAGTTATTTAACTCCACTTTCTTAGTCATTCCTGTTCTTCCTGCCACAGTTTCCTTCCTCTTTTGTGAGTATAGATGTGAATTTTCCAATTGTTCACTGGAACTCTCTAGCTGTATAAACAGTAAGCACCCCTTAGTTCAACATGTCCAAAGTCAGCCTCATCTTTCCTCCAAAATCTACATTTTCCCTGGCTAATGGTTTCTGTAAGACATCAAAATTTAAAACTTTAGAATTGTTCTTGACTTCCATTAGTTACTTTGTACCTACTTAAACAGTCATTCATTCCTGTTGATTCTTCCTGTGAAATCTCTCTTACCTTCATTCCTGCTGTGAATATCCTGTTTCAGATTCCTAATCTCTCACATGCATTCACTTATTTAACCAGCACTTACTTATTACTTTTGTGCCAGGCATAGTGTGAGACTGTCTCATGTCTCATTCATCAATGATTGAATAAGGCATCTCTTCGTTTAAATAGACTACAATGATACATTTATTTATAGTACATTTATTGGGTATGTTTCATGGGCAGAGTGCTTATCACGTTTAGTCTTCACAACAGCTCTTGGAAATAGGCACAGAGAGGTGAGGTATATGTACAAACCATGATACTACAATAAGACAGTTTAGCTGGTTTGGGTTCTCCTAAAACAAAACCATACAGAAACCCTCTTATGCAAAATCATACAAAAAGAGGGGATTCAGCGATGGGCTGTATATAAGTCAAATTGTAGTTTAAGACAAGCTATTTAAAATGTGTATAAAGAATTCTGAGCACAATCTGAGAGCCTTTTTTTTGAACACTGACTTTTCTAAAATAATATTTTGAAATTTTTATTTTAAGATAACTGTAGGCTTACATTGCCATTGTAAGAAATAATACAGGTAGAGCCCATGTATTCTTTATCCAGTTTCCTTCAATGGTAACATGTTGCAAAACTATAGTACAGTATTATAACCAGGATACTAACATGGATACAGTTATGATACAGACCACCAGAACATTCCATCACCACAAGAATTCCCCAAGTTGCCCTTTAGTAGTCACACTCAGGTCCCTCACCCCATTCCCACTTTAACCCTTACAAACTACTGATTTTGCCAGGTGTGGTGGTACAGGTCTGTAATCCTAGCACTCAGGAGGCTGAGGGAGAATAGAGAGTTTGAGGCCAGCTGGGGCTACATAGCAAGGCCCTATCTTATCCCCCTTACCCAATGCGCAAGAAACCACTGATATTCCATTTTTTTAAAACTTTTGAGGACTTTATGTAAAGTGTAATCAGATAATAAACATCCTTTTGGAATTGGTTTCTTTCAACATAATTCTCTGCTCATTTATCCAGTTTGCACGGATCATCTTTTTGTTGCTCAGTAGTAGTCCTTGATACAGATGTGTCACAGTTAATTTAACCATCACCCACTGGAGGACATCTGGGTTTTTTGCTGTCATGAATAAAGGTGCTATAAACATTAATGCAAGTTTTGTTTGAGCACAACCTTTATTTATCTGGGATAAATGCTTGTGAGTACAATTGCTGGGTCATAGATTAGTTGCAGACTTTTTTTTTTTCTTAAGTGAACAAATTGTTTTCTAGAATGGCTGTACTATTTTACATTGCTATCACTAATTTGTGATCCAGTTTCTCTGCATCTTCACCAGAATTTGGTGGTGTCACTATTTTTGATTTCCTCTCCTTTTACATTATTAGAATAAATATGTCAAGTCTCTTCCTATTGCAAACCATTATCTTTAGTGCTACCAGAGTTCACTTTTAGATATATGCCTTAAAATTTTGGAGAAATTTCATCCTAGCAGAAATATAGTAGGTATTTGGATACATCTAATTAAAGAAAGAAAACTTGGTTGGAACTTTTGTAAGTCATCTCTATTAAGTTGATTAAAGTTACGTAAATGGATGAAATGGCTCAAGCAGAGAAGTGGAAGAGAAAGAGAATAGGACTAAGGACAGAAGTACTAAGAGGTGGGTGACCTAGTAATCAAAGGGCTGGGAATATACTCAAAAGAAAAGGAGAGGTCTGGAGGCATGGCTTAAGTGGTGGAGCATGCCTAGCAAGCATGAGGCCCTGAGTTCAAACCTTAGTAGCACGAAAACAAATATTTTTAAAAATACGTCAGAGGCCAGAGGGGGACAATTTAATATGAGGATTAAAATGTGTATCTTGTGTTTGGTATCTAAAGGGACCAGTGTTGATCTCTGCTTACCAGTTTCAGTGGAAATGAGAACAGAAGCCTGGGGATACCTGCCTAGGGCATGAATGGGAGGTTATAAAGAAATAAGACCAATGAAGAGGAACAAGCAATGAAGCATTAATGGAGATTTTTTCTTTTGAGACATGGTCTTACTATGTTGTCCAAGCTGGTCTCAACTCCTTAGCTCAAGTGATCTTTACACATCACCCTCCCAAGTGCTGGGATTACAGGTGCGTGCCACCACATCTGGCTAGAAAGACTTTTTAAAGACTGTTTTGGAATGAGGTTGAGTTAGTGGAGAGAAAGAGGCCGAAAATAAAGGGAAAAAAATCTTGTGAACCGTCAACAAAGAACATGTAATAAATACTCAAAAATTACTTCAGTGAAAAAAATACAAAGAGAGGATGGATGGAGTAAGGTCTGGAGATGGGAGAGAATTTGTCGATCAATCTGTGGTTGAGTGAATTCAGTCTGAGCTTGGCCCATCTTTACAAGGCTCTGTGAGATGGAGTAGGGAAACTGAGGAGAATTCTGAGGGCTGGAACAGTCACAAAAGGAATGAAGGTGCTGGCTAAAGACAAGGAATAGGATTGTTGAATCTGGGAAAAGAACACCTGTTCTTAGTGGTGTCAATATGTACAGTGGGTCAAGGGTAGGCTTGAGAAATTGAAATGGGAGTTTAATAGCAAAAAAAGGATGTGTAGTCAGGAAAGGGTAGTCTAAAGAGAACTAAGGTGGTGACTGAGGTGGAGAACAGTAGAATTACTGAGGGAGAGACAGAAGGATGAGTTCTAAGTAGAAAAGTGGACGCTGGAGTTAAGATTTCAGAATTAGAGGAGTTTGAGATAATCATGAAGTCCAACACAGTGGGTCAATGAAGTACAGAGATGAAAGGTACTGTTTCCTGACTGTGAAGTGTTAAGGAATTTGTATGTTATCTTGAAATTTATGGAAAATCAAGGAAGAGATATTAACCATTCACAAATATTTCTCATGACAGTGTGGGTAACGGATGCAAAGAAGGGAAGCCATCAGAGATGTCTTAAACTTATTGCTAGCACTTCTGCTCCCAGTGGAAACACTAGTTTCAACAATTCCGCGGCCAAGTTTTCTGCCACATTTTCTTCACTGCTCATTACACTCAGTTACATGAACCAATATATCTTCATTATGTGCTTTTGGGAAGATCACATTCCCTCAGCTGCATTTTGCCCATAGTCATCTTTACTAAATGTAATTAGAACCCTCTTCTGGATTAATCTTAGGAAAAATTTTTTGTTATTGAAGTTGTGAGGCCAGATACGACTGTAGGGGATGGAAACAGTGGAAAGGAAAGGTTTACTTTCACTGCTTTTCTGGGAGTCTGGAGTTTTTTCTGAAACTCTCAGGCATATAGTTTCACCTCTGTGTTTTTACATTTTGAAAATTTTTTTTGTTTATATTTATATTAGAGTGTGAGTTCCATCATATTAACCTGAATCGAATTCATCTTGTTATGATGTGGTACCTAAAAAGTCTTAGCATTCTGGTTCAAAAATAGGTGCTTAATAAAAGTTCAGTGAGTAAATGGATGAATGAGTGATAGATCCTACACAGCGAGGGCATCCTATCCTCTGTAGGCTACATGATTTCAAGTTCCCAACAAGTTTCTCCTAGAACAGATTCAGTTGTGATGCCCAAATAGTTCTCAGACTAACAGAAATTGTCACTTCGGCTAGATGTGCTTAATTTGGAAGCAGCTGTAGGAGATACAGGGCCAGCTCACGCTTCCCTTTAGGGAAGAGGCGCGAGGCTGCTTTCCGTACCGTACAACAACATGGCAGCTGCCTGCCAGAGTTCGGCAACGCAGTAATTCCCTTTGGGGAAGAGGGCCAGGGTGCTTTTTCCGTACGGAATCATGGCGGCCGCCTGCGGGAGACAGTCAGTGCATCACGCCCGAGGGGGTGGTGGAGGGGAGAAGCTGCCGTAAAGGAGGCGTCGCTTCCTCTTCTTACTTCTCCCGCCTCCCACCGGCTGTCGTAAAAGGGTGAATGGAGAGCGAGTTGTGGGGGGGAAAGAGGGAGGACAGGGGGCGCGGAGTCAGAGTGGCGCAGCAAGTGGCTGCAGGTGGCGACGGTGGCGGGGGGTGGGGAGTAAGGTAATTCGGCGTTCGCGAAAAAGGAGGTTTAGCGGGTCTGAAGAAAACTAAAGCTGCAGTCCGGCCTACTGTTCCGGGGGCCGCCGAGCCCCCACCGGGGAGATGGATCTCAACCGGATCATCCAGGCGCTGAAGGGCACCATCGACCCGAAGCTTCGGATCGCCGCCGAGAACGAGCTCAACCAGGTGAGGAGCCGGCCTGCGGCGGCGGCGGCTCTGCCTCCTTGGCGCGGGGTCTCCTCCCTCCTTCCCTCCCTCCATTCCTCCGGGCTCGGCACCCCGCGGCTCCGCTCGGCCGGGTCCAGTGAGCCGCGCCCGACTGTGCGCGCACCAACGGCTCCCGCGCACCTGTTGGCCGCCTCTGCCTCCCCAGGGCCGGTGTCCAGCCCGCCTGGTCTGCAGCCTTTGCTGGGGTTTGAGGAAGCGTGGGATTTCTTTCCCGCGAATGCGCTTACTTGGGGACGCGAGTGGGAAAATTCACCGCGTATTCAAATCTGAGCTGGCTTTTCTCCAGACCCAGCCCTTTTTAGGTGGTGTTGTGGGAGACCCAGCCCACCGCCTGCGCTTGCGGGCTTGGCAGGACAGTCTGACACTGAGTGGCAGAGTTTTGCAGGAGCGTCAGGACAGTGCTTTGGGAAGAACAGTTGCCTTCCCAAATGCACATCGAGAAAAACGTGCTGGAGGGATTTCTTTTAAATGCTAAAACGCACACTCCCTTTTATTCTCCATCCATCCACTCCTCTTCCTACCAGCCTTGACCTTGTTCCAGCGTTAGCCTCAGCATTTCAAAATTTTAATGATCCTAGACTCTACCTTATTTTTTCCTCCATACTTTTAAGAGCAAACCAGACTTCTTTCTAAAAAGTACGAATGAAGATCTACCACTTGGATGGAGTTAGGGCTCTTTGAGGTTTCCATGATCCTTAAAATGCGAAGGGAGATTTCTAAATTAGTGGTTCTCAGAGGATTGCCCACGATCAGCGTCATTAACATCACAGGAGGACTTGTTGGACATGCAAATTATGGGGCTTCTCTCCAGGTTTAAAGAATCTGAAACTCTGGGGGTGGGGGTGGGAGTCAGTTGTATTGCACCTAGCTCCCCAGTTGGTTCTGTGCCTCCTAAAGTGTGATAAGGGCTGACCTAAGTAAATGTTTCTCTTGGAGTGGCAGATATGTGTGGTGAATCTGTGGATTTTGGAATAGTTGTGAACCCAGGATTCCCAAGAGATAAAACGGAGAGTGAAAATGCTGACAATAGGATGAAAGCCCAAAGGGTTTTCCGCACTGAATAGGGGACAGTTAAAGTCAGTACCTGTCCTAGGCCTTGCATGTTGATTGGCTTGAAGAATTGTAATCCAGGGGTTAGTTGGAAAGAACAGGGCTGTCAGAGTGGCTCAAGTGGTAGAGCATCTGCTTTGTAAGTGTGAAGCTCTGAGTTCAAACCCCAGTCCCGCCAAAAGAGAAAGAACAAAACAAGAGCTGAACTTGCAATCTTTTAGTATGAACTGGGGCTCTGGCCTGTTTGTGACCCCCCCCTCTCCACCCGGAGGCCATATGTTGCTTTGATAGTGTTAATAGGGAGCACATCTTTGATGTCGTGTTATACTTTCTGGCTTCTGTTAGCCTGAGCTTGCCTTGTTTCTGATTTGTCAATGTGTAAGTGTAGTTGATGTTATAGGAGTGGAAAGGTTAGATGGGAAAGCCTGCCCAACTGGGAAACATTTAACACCCAGTCTTACTTTTTCTTCGTGGTATTTGAGTCTACATCTATGCCATCTTCATTCTGCCCTGCCCCGCCCTGGGTCTGTCCAACTCATCACATACCATTTTCCTTGTAACTTGCTCCTGCAGGAGGTCCCTAGGTTCATTCTCAGCAGCACAATAAAATAAATAAATACATAAACAAATATAACTCATTGCTTGGCACTCATTTAGCATTTATATTTTATATAACATTTTGGATTGTACTCTGCTCTGTTTTGGGAAATTGTAAGCTGAAGACCAAAATATGCCACTTAATCTTACAGTAAAGCACGAATATGGTGTAGGGTTTTTTTTTTGTTGTTAACTACCACTGTAACATTTTGCATTGTTGGATAAGTGAGAGGGTATCTACCATAAGTGGTTAAGGTCCATTTCTTTTATATTTAATTTTTTAATTCAGTTTCACAGTGCTCAAGATCAAACTGAGGAGGGCCCTGCACATTCTAGGCTAACCTGCAGCCCCCAGCTCATTTATTTTAGTCTCAGTTTCCCCCCAGCAAATACACTCTGTGCAGGACATGGGGGCAGCTTCTGCGGTGTACTGATTGATGTGTCAGTGCCCTTTGGAAAGGAGCAGGCTTCAGCATCACAGCCTGTTGTGCAGAGGATAACTTCTTATTTGGAGGTGTTTTCTCAGGCTATTGGTTTTCTTTTACTGGTGACTAGGTCCCTGATGGCCAATTGTGATATTGTTTCTAAGGGGAACACATTTCCATTTTTCTCTGAGGATTTTAAGGGTGAATCCTATATACCTTTTTCATTGTCTCTCCACCAGAAGTCCCTTTAGCAGAATAGGGGAGTGGGATTGGATAGATGTCTGGCTTCAGTAACTCATTCAGAAAGGTAGCTTCTCTTATTTATTTATTTTTAGACATTTTAGATGAGGCCTCACTATATAGCCCAGGCTCGCTTCAAACTTTGCAGGCATGCAAAAAAAAAAAAAATATATATATATTTTTGTGCTATTGGGGTTTCAACTCAGGGCCTCCCACTTTGCTAGGCATGCACTTTACCTCCTGAGCCATGACCCCAGCTTCAAACTTTGAATTTTCCTGTCTCAGTTTCCTGAGTGCTGGGATTATAGGAATGTGCTACCATGCCTGGCCATAGCTGTCTTCTTTTAATAAATCATTCTCTTCTTGTTGTTAATAGGGAAATGAAGATACTCACTTTCATTGCCAAGTTTTGGAATCCCTGCTTTTTATGTATGTATATTTTGCAGTGCTGCGTATTGAATGTGAGGCCTCACACATGCTAGGAAAGTGCATTGTTATTGAGCTCCCCAGTCCATCATTTTGATTGCCCTTTAAGAGAGTTTGTAATAGGCATAACAGATACACTTCCTGAGTTATAATGTAGGCACTGTTCGCATTGATCTTGCACGCTAGTGGGGGGTACAGACTAGTAAATAATGTGACTTCAGGTACTACAGAGAGTAAAGCCTGAGAGTGTGTTGGGATGTATACATAGGGTTGTTGTTCTCTGAAGAGTGAGTGAGCAGAGAGACAGAGCTGGCAGTTCTGAAAGAGTGAGCCAGGCATGGAGCTGGGAGAGGAGCATGATAGAGGACAAGAAAGGCTAATGTAGCTGGTGCAGTGAATCAGAGGAGCGGAAGATAGCATGTCTTTGCTTTATGTGAGTTCTCATAAAACGCAGAATTTAGCCAAGCAAGAATACTGTTTCTTTTCAGAAAACTTCACAGGTATAAAGTAAATATTCTCAAGAAATCATTGAGAAATGAATCATCTTTGTTAGAAACTTGAAGCTCAGAGAGGGAAAAAGAAATTGGGTAATATTTGTGAGGAAGTTAGTATGAGAATATATCTGAGTTTGGCCAAGTTAATATAGATTCAATCAAAGCTGAAGAGAGAAGACAAAGTTTCAGAAGTTCTTTTAAAATGGCAAATTGTTGCAAAAGAGGAGTTCCAAAATGTGCACAATGCCAACAATGTTTAATCAAGTAGCTACTTTCAGATAAGTAGCATTAATTCAAGAGCAAAGGTTATTTTTATTTCTGGAGAGTTAAGATTTCTATATAGATGTTCTAATCTTTGACTTACTACAAGATAATCTTTTAGTATCTAGAGTTATAAACAAGTTTCATAAATGTGTACATAGAAGGTATAGAAGGTTAAATCTATTTTAATTTTGCCTCCTACAAACTGCTTTTTAAATAAATAAATTAAAAAAAATTTTTTTTTGGTGGGACTGGAGTTTGAACTCAGGGCTTTGTGTTTGCAAAGCAGGTGCTTTACCACTTGAGTCATACTTCCAGTGCACTGGTTATTTTGGAGATGGGGGTCCATGAACTATTAATTTGCCTGGACTGGCCTCAAACTCTTGTCCTCTGGATCTTAGCCTTCCAAGTAGCTAGGATTACAGGTGTGAGCCACCAGTACCTGGAAAATATGTTTCTTAAAAAATTAATTTAAAATTTTGGTGGCTTCAGTTATGGATGAAAGAGAATTTACCTTGAATATAACAGACTTAAGATTCTGAAGAATATACAGAATGAAATTTTTATCAAAGTTTTATCGACGGCTATGAAAAAATTTGGAAAGTACACTGTTTTTGTATGGAAAGGATCAATAAATGTTTAATTAAAAATTAAACAAATAAAATGAATAGGAAAAGTGATTAAGAAGTTGAGCGGTGTATATTGAAAGGGATGACACTCAAGATCCAGGCTTGCAGGGGAAGGTGAGCTGAGCAGACCTGTGGGGCATTCATTGTCTGGATTGGCCTCACTGAAAATTCAGTCTTCTAGGAGGGTCAGTGGCAAGGACCTGTGTGGGTTCCAGAAATGTGGCAGAGCAGCAGGGGAGTCAGGTACTAAATGTCTACTTAGAATATGGTCCTCTCTAACTCATGTGCTTATTAATATTATCCTGTTGGTTTTGTTGTATTAGACTTTCTGCTTTCTGTAGCTGGGAAGAAACACTTATGATGAGTAGGTGAAGTAAAAGCTTGATTTTATTAAGAAAAAATAAAAATCCTGTTTGCAAAAGAAGAAAAGAGTAAGGAATTTATAGAAGAAATAATAGCCTGCTAGCACTAAGGAAAAATGACTTCTTTAGTATCAGAGGATGAGTAATTTAAAACATTAATAAGGTTTTAAAGTTTTGCAGGAATGATAACACTGTTCCTATTTTGGCTAGGTGGACACTCAAATATTTGTTTGGTGTATAAATTGGCATACACTTTCTGGAGAGTATTTTGGCAATATATGTCAAGAATCATAAAAATGTTCATACTTTTATTTATTAACTTGTTCTAAGGAACATTTTTGACTTGAAGTATTTTAGTAACCTTCATTTTGCCATGGAGAATTTCTCTCATATTAAAGGATTTCCTTTCATTTGGACAGTAATATATTTAGTAACAGGTACTAATAGCTATTCTTTTATATTGCTGTCTTTTATAAAACATTTCTTTGTAATTTCAGTCCTACAAGATTATCAATTTTGCACCCAGTTTACTTTGGATTATAGTCTCTGATCATGTGGAATTCCCAGTACGCCAGGCAGGTGAGTTGGTTTTTTATCCTTTGTAAATTTATTCATAGGTGAAAGTAGAATGGAAGTTTTAATGCATATATGCTTAATTTCTTAGAAAATTGCAAAGTACATATGAAATGTTTCTAAGGCATAAAAACTCTTTTTCTTTCTGAATAGCTCTCAAATCTCCCCTTGCTTTTTTTTTTTCCTTCTTTTCCTACCCACCAAATTCTGGCTTCCGTAACATTGCTGTTTTCCCCTTAGCTTTCTCAATTTTAATAGCTTATCTCCCTAGTTTGTTGATTTCTGGTTGCCTCACCTCTGGTCCTGTAGATTAAGACCATGACTTTGTTTATATGAAGCCAAACTCTCATTGTGTGTCAAGTCACGGAAGTAATGTATCCACTGATGTTCCTGATCATGCAGTGGGGAGCAGAACGTGTTTTGTATGTGTTGCGGGGGATGGAACTTTTTAATTTTAACATGAAATTCACTTTCAAGTCTATGGGATCTTATATAGTTCCATGATTAGCATTGTTCTTGTTTTTTTAGTGGACTGGTCATTAGAATACATCAGGTTAAGAATTGAGAAAGCCTGGAACATCGTGAGTCCTTAAAAGTTAATTATAAAGCTAAAGTAGATAAAATCACAATAGCGAATTAAAAAAAAAAAACCACTTAGGTTAGTGACATAAACAAATGTTTCTCCACTTAGAATGAAGTTCCCTCCCCATAAGTGCATCGTAAGTTGAAAATGTTGTTAGTTGGAAATGCATTCAATATACCATAAGCTACTGAACAGCATAGTGTAACAATGCAGTGCACTGTAGAGTATAAATTGTTTTCTTCATGATCTTATGGTTGACTGGGGCTGCAGCTTGCTACTTCCATCCAACATCCTGAGAAAGGGTCTTTTCACATTGTCCTAGTCCCAGAAAAGATCAAGTTCTAAATTTCAAGTATGGCTTCTACTGAATGCATATTGCTTTTGCGTAAGTAAAAAAGTCATAAGTTGAACTGTGGTAAGTCAGAGGTGCATTCATTATAGGTAGTTTTAGCAATACAGAAGAATATAGAGAGGAAAGTAAAATTATCCAGCATTTATCACTCAGAAGTGACCATCGCTGATTGTGGGTGAGCATTATGTGTATCTGTATATGTTTAGGTAGAATGATAAATGAAGAGTTTTATGGAAATAGAATAATAATTTATGTTTATTAAAATATTTAATTTTACTTGAACACAAAATAAAAAACCAAGGAATATGAAACTTTGGGAAAATGCTTATCAAACACATAGCCACATGTCACTTAAGAATGGATGTGTTCTGTGAAACATTGTTATGTGATTTAGTCATTGTGCAAACACTGTAGCGTGTACTTACGCAAACCCACATAGTATGACCTTCTGCACACCTAGGCTATGTGGTATGTGGTATGTGTCTATGTTGTTACATGGCTCATAACTATGAATTGTTTTCTAAAAGATTCCTTTGTGGTTAAGATAAAAAGAAAAGCCTGTGGAAAATGTGCTTGTTGGAATTATTATTTACTTTAAAAAGGCTTATAAGACTTCTATATAAGATTTTTACAGCCATAAGTCTCAGTTATTTAATCTTTGTTCTTATAAAATAGGCCTGTTCCGAAACAACATTTTGCTAAATAAAATTTAGTATTTTTAGGGCCCATGTGAAGTTCCCATGATGCCTTTTAGAAATGGCCTTTTAAAAGATCTTAAAACAGTTTATTCATCAATGACTGGCTTATGTGACACATGAACATTATAAAACATAGAATTTATATAGTACATTGCTCTTAAGCACCTTCAGCTATAGCTGTTGTCAAATTCCATGCAGAGTTCAGTTCTTTTTTTTTTTTCCATTAGTGTACATTAATTGTACAGGGGGTTTGTTGCCTAGCTCAGTTCTTTTCTGTTCATATTACTTATGCTATTTTACAGTTTTCTATTTTCATTTAATCATGTACCCTTGGGGATTGCTCTATATCAGTGCATATACGTATACATACTTCATTTTTTTTTCTGGACAGTACTAGGGTTTGAACTCAGAGCCTCATGCTTGCTAGGCAGGTGCTCTACCACTTGAGCCGCTCCACCAGCTCCTACTTTGTTCTTTATAATAGTTACTCAGTATTTCTTTGTATGGAGCTACCATGGTAATTTAAACGACATTTTATTTATCTTTATTTTTTGTCAATATGGGGTTTGAACTATTATTTTGATCATTTATTATTTCCTTTGTCATTTTTTGTTGTTGAGACAGACAGTGCTAAAATATGCATCTTTGGACATATATCTGTGGGTACTCCTGGCAGTGTCTTTTAAATGCAATAAATTATTAGAAATGGAAATGCTAGGTTAATGGATATTGGTGGTATCCATAACATTTAGAATTTTGAAAGCCCAGGTGTGGTGCTGCATGCCTGTAATCCCAGGACGAGGCAGAGATAGGAGGATCATGGTTTGAGGCTAGCTGGGACAAAAGGTTAATAAGACTTATCACTGTACACGGTTAGGCTATAGTCCTGAGTCATTGGGAGGCAGAGGTGGGAGGATCGAGCCCAGAGCCCAGCCCGGGCAGGGATTGGGGGGATAGTGTGAGAACCTGTCTGAAAAACATACTAAAAGCAAAAAAGGATATGGGGTATGGCTCAAGTGGAGGACGGCTTGCTAGGAGGCCCTGAATTCAATCTCCAGTATTGAAATAAAATTTTGAATCTCATTGTTGAATTTCTTTTGTTACATTTTTTTAAATTTAATAAACTGTGCATTAGAATGCTAGGCTCCCCATATCCCTACCAACTCTGCACAACTTTTTTTTTTTTTTTTTTTTTTGAGGTGCTGGGGATCAAACTTAATAGTCTCACATGTTAGATTAGTGCTCTACCATTGATCTACATCTCTAGCTCCACAGCTTTGAATATTAATAACTTAGGCAATGAAGTTCTGATGTAAAATGTAAGCAGCATTTAAAGATAATTTTTCTTCATAATGTATGTGGATTTCAAATTTGTTAGCTATAGGTTATAGTTCTTCTTGGTGACTGATTTCCTAACTTATAAGGACAATTTTATATCTTAAAACAGCTGTTTTTATTTTAGGATTTGAAATATATTATAATCTGTGAAGTGACATTTGTAAATTTTGTGGTCATCTAGTCTATTATTAAACTATAAGGATGTCCCAAGAACTTTATGGTGACACCAGACAGATTATTTATCATTTTAATGTAACATTTAAAAAAAATGATGTGATCTTTGCCATAAAGGAAAAATTATGGTAATATTGAGTAGAAAAATGTAATTCTATATAGCTTTTTTTTTTTGTAGTCCTGGGATTTGAGCTCAGGGCTTCATGCTTGCTAGGCAGGCGCTGTAGCTGTTTTTTAATAGGAAAACAGATTTATTCTTTATGAATTGGGTTAAGATGATATTAGTGTTTTATTTCTTAGCTTTGGCAAATAGTTTTTTTTTTCCCCCCTGTGGGCAGTTCAAAAAATTTTCTTGCTACTATCAAGCAAGCTCATTAGTAATATTTGCTTTTATTTTCCTGTGAATTTTCAAGAAATCAGAAAAAATTAATATTTTGGTGTTGCCATGCAAAACAAAATAAATTTAGTAGTTTGCTCTGTTACTTTCCGTTCAGTATAATGGTATTATTAATATTATCATGTAATGTTCAGAGAAGGGTGATCAGGGTTTTTCTTTTGAAACGGGCTCACTATGTAGTTCAAAGCTGACCTTGAACTCTTGATCCTCTTGCCTCTGCCTCCCAGATGCAATGCTGGGATTATGGGAGTATACCACCATATACCTGGTTTGGAAGCCCATTTTAGATCTAGGATGCAATAACTATGATCAGGACTCTCTCAAGTCACTGTTTGCTTTTAGCCCTGAGGAGACCCTTTAGTAACATCTTTCCAGTACATGCAAGTTTAGCATTATAAATGAACTTGTTTTAGTGTTGTCATGAGAAGAGTAGTTTGGGTTTAAAAGTGATGACCGAGGAGCTGGTGGAGTGGCTTGAATGCCTGCCTAGCATGCATGAGGCCCTGAGTTCAAACCCCAGTACTTCTCCCCTGCCCGCCACCCTTCCCCCCTCCCCAAAAAAAAAGATGGTTGAGGACTATTACATTAGTCCTGAAGAAGTCATCAGTGGTGACTGGTGTGGGACCATCATTGGAAAAAATACCAAGTTTTTTGTTTTCTGCAAGTTGTCTGATTTTTGTTCTTCTGGCTTTTAAACAAACTTTGCATGTCCAAAAGATGGATGGGGAGATGATACAGAAATCTGTCTACAGCTATTTATTCAGAGGTCATGTATTTAAAATTCACAGCAGTGTTCTGAACTGCAGAAGCTAGAAATGGACAGAAAGATGCTGCTTGTCACTTGAGAAGCACTCAAGAAGCCTCCTGGATTACTTCCCTCCCTTGCCACATTTTATTGAGGAAGCTTCTGTGCTCTTACTCAGAATCTGTTTAATCTAATTTAGTTATAGTTTACACAGTTGTTATCTGATCTCGACCTTTAACACATTGAAGTAATAACAAGAGAGAGAAGTACTACTTACAGTGAAAAATAGAAAGGCTTAGAAAGATCACCTAAAAAGCATGGCACTCTGCCTGCCTTACCAGGGTTATAACATCATTTTCTCCCCTTTGAGGCTGTGGAACCAAATTTACTTCCATAGTTGTGTTCTGGGTCCAGAGAGTAAACTTTAAGTGGTGATTGATTGTGTTGAGAAGGAGAGAGGTATTTATATGTTTTAGTAATTTAATTTCATGCAAATGAAAGCCACAATGGATATCATCTCACCACAGGCAGAGTGGTTATCATCAAAAAGAAAAAAATAACAAATGCTGGGAATAGGGAACTCTTTTATCCTGTTGGTGGGAGTGTAAATCAGTACAGTAAGGAAATTCTTCAAAAAACTAAAACTAGACTAGAACTACCATACGATCCAGCAATCCCACTACTGGGTATACGTCCAAAAAAGATGAAATCATTATTCCAAAATGATACTTGGACTCCCAGGCATACTGCAGCATTATTCACAGTAGCTAAAATATGGAATCAACCTAGATGCTTGTGGTTTGAATATAAAATGTCCCCCACAGGCTCATGTGTTGAACACTTGGTCCCCAGGTGGTGGTGCTATTTTGGGAGGTGGTGGAAAATTTAGGAGGTGGGATCTAGCTGGAGGAAGTAGGACACTGGGGGTGTGCCTTTGAAGGTTGTACCTGGTCCTGGTCCCTTCCTCACTCTCTGCTTCCTATCTGCCAGGTATTGAACAGCCCTGCTGTGCCACACCCTCACCACTATGATTATTGAACTCTCAGAAACTGAGCAAGATAAATACTTCCGCTTTAAGTTGTTTATGTCAGATATTTTGTCACAGCAACAAAGTCTCACTAACACAATCTCCTTCAGTGGATGAACAAATAAAGAAAATGTGGTATACATATACAATGGAACATTATTCCACCATAACAAAAGAATGAAATGCTGTTATTTATAACAACATGGATGGAACTGTTAAATGAAATTAGCCAGACATGGAAAGACTAAGTGATGTGCTGAAATGTTTACTGCTTAGATTAGCTAAAGTGAAACCTTTTGTTCTTACCCTATGCCCTTTCCAGTGTGTCTGTTTATACATTTCTGCTGGGTGTCACATTCAGCACTGAAGTGTTTAGCTTCTTACCTCTTAAAGCTGAATTAAAGCCATCCTTTTGATACTAATACATTCGCATTTTTTTCTCAAACATAGCTGCCATCTACCTGAAGAACATGGTGACACAGTACTGGCCAGATAGAGAACCTCCACCAGGGGAAGCAATGTTTCCATTCAACATTCATGAAAATGATCGGCAACAAATACGTGATAACATTGTGGAAGGGATAATTCGGTCTCCAGATTTAGTGAGGTATGTTGTGCACCAGACCATGGATCTGGGCACGGGACATGCTGGATCTCATCTTCAACCTCAGGTTCAGTTTATTTTTTTTTTTGGTGGCCCTGGGGTTTGAACTCAGGGCGTCACACTTGCTAGCCAAACATTCTTCTGTGTATGCCACTCTACCAGCCCTTTATTGTGTTGGGCATTTTTGAACTATTTGCCTGGGTTGGCCACCTGAGTAGCTACAATTACCGGCGTGAGCCACTGGTGCCCAGATCAAGTTTATTTTTTTAAAAGAGGTAAAGTAATGAAGACTGGGGCTGAAGAGAATATTATTTGCTTATTTGTCTTTGCATTTATAATTCTTTGTCTCAAAATATTTTGGAATTTCGTTGCCATTAAGTTGCCACAAAAACGTACATAAAGGCCCATGCTTAACCAGAAGGATTTTGTAAATTTCTGTTGTATGATCTCTTGACATTTTTTTTTTTTTAGTAGTACAGGAGTTTCAACTCAGGCAGGTGCTCTACCAACTGAACCAGGCCCCAGCCCTGTTTTTGCTTTATTTTTCGGGGGGGGGGTCTCAAGTTTTTGCCTGTGACAACTCAGTCTGAGATCTTCCTACCTATGGCTTACAGTGTAGCTGGATTGACAGTCATGTTCCACCATGCCCAGATTATTGGTTGAGGTGGGGTCTCAGTAACTTTTTGCCAGTGCTGGCCTTGAACTCTGAATCTCCTCCTCTCTATATATTTATTTTTGGTGGTACTAGCATTTGATTTTCTTTTTTTTATTGGCATATATTAAATTGTACCTAGTAAGGGATTTCATCATGACATTCCAAGCATATATATATTTGTATTTCGATCATATTCACCCCCTCTATTACTCTTTCTTACTCCCCTTTCCTCTCTCCCCTTTGTCTCATCTCTTCTACCTGCCTTTTACCTTCATGACCTTAGTTTTATTATGTTTTGTTTCCCTCTAGTTTCCACAATACAGAAAACACATATTTGTCTTTCTGAGTCTGGCTTATTTATTTTATTTTTATTTTTGTTTGGTGTCACTGGGGTTTGAACTCAGGGCCTCACTTTCTAGGCAGGCACTCTACCACTTGAGCCACTCCACCAGCCCTGTTTTGTGTTGGTTTTTTTCTAGAAATGGTCTTGTGAACTATTTGTCTGGGGCTGGCTTTGAACCTTGATCCTCCTGATCTCTGCCCTTTTGAGTAGCTAGGATTACAGGCGTGAGCCACTGGCAGCCAGCTAGTTTATTTCACTTTACATGAATTTTTTTTACATGCATTTTTCAGCAAACAATATAATTCCATTCTTAATGGCTGAGTACACCTCCATTGTGCACATAGCCTATTTTCTTCATTCTTTTGTTGATGAGCACTTAGGCTGATTGAATTTTTTTTTTTTTTTGTGGTGCTGGAGTTTGAACTTAGTGCTTCAAGCTTGCTAGGCAGGCACTTTACCACTTGAGCCACTCCACCAGCTCTGATTGTTTTTAACTTTCCTTAATTCTCTACCTGTATTTTAAAAGAAACTTACTATCTTTTCCCTCATTGAAAACAATATAGAATAGGTTTAAGCTAAAAGAATAGACACCAAGTTTTCAGAGCCATAGATTAGATTAAATTAGATGCTGTAGAGTAATGCCTTTTGCAGTGATAGAAATGTTTCTTTATCTGTTCTTTCTACTATTTAGCCACATGGCATAGGTGGCTTTTGAACACTTGAAATGTAGCTAGTGTAACTGAGGAACTGCATTTTAAATTCCACTTAATTTTGATTCATTTAAAGTGTGCATGAAGAGCTAGTGGGTTACTTATGGGGCGGCATAGCTATAGAGTCATATACATTTTGCAGTGTTAAACTAGGAGAAACATTCACATCAACATCTGAGCTAGTAATTAAGTTTGTTTTGAAAATGGAGGGGTAAACAGATGAAACAGCGGTAGGGGGATGAATTTTATCCCTGAGTGTCTAACAAACATGATGACATAAGTGCTGGAAAAGGAAGGAAGTATGAGGGAAATGTAACAGGAAGAACAAACATTGATCAATTTGTGCATTTTTTTTTCTTCTTTTGGCGGACAGGGGTTTGAACTCAGGGTTTCAAGCTTGCAGGTGCTTTACCACTTGAGCCACGTCCTCAGTTCATTTTGCTCTGCTTATTTTGGAGGTGGAGTCTCTTGAACTGTTTGCCTGACCTGGTCTTGAACCACGATCCTCCTAATCTCAGTCTCCCAAGTAGCTAGGATTACAGGCGTGGGCCACCAGTGCCTGGCTGTGCAGTAATTTTCTTAGTTAAGAGGAGGCAATGGGTGTACTGATTAAGAAAGTCGTTGGTTGCCCAAATGCCAGTCATGGTCCTAATGTCCTGATGGAGCCATCATGTATCTATTTCTTGTCAAAATGCTTACCTTTTCCAATCTCTGAATCTTCCTTTTGCACTGTGAAGTCCTAATTTTGCCAAGTTAGTTTTCTAACTATTTGCAAATGACCACTAAGGACATATTTGATAACATTATAGCTTATAAAGGGACATCTTTTTCCTTTATTTTCATTCTCAGTTATCTCAGGCAAGATTCCCATTGAGGAAATGATAACTGATCTAAGTGTTAGGAGATAACATCATTTTAATCCCTTAACTGGTCCTGTTTTTCTGTTTTGTATCTTTCCTGCTGCTTTTTCCATTTACTTCTTGGGACTGTCTCTTAGCCTTCCTCTTTAGAAATTGCCTGACTAATCCTTGTTTCTTTCTTATACTCAAAGTACAAAAAAATTAGTATCTCAGGCTGCTTTGAGATACCAATGGTGAGCCACCACGGTGGCTGTTAACAGATGAGGGTGGGTGCTCAGAGTTTTGTTCTACAGAGAAGTTTCCCACAGCTATGTAGGCCTCCGTTTTATTTACTTTTGCCATCTGCAGGTTAGGTTTGCCATCCTTTTTCTTTTGGTACTGGGGATCAAACCCAGGGTCTTGTACAAGCTAGGCAAGCACTATACCTTTGAGCTACATCCCCAACCCTAGGTTCGCCTACTTAAAATGATATAACATTTTGGTCTTCCACTGCACCTTTAGGATATGAGAGCCAAAATATAAAATGTAACAAACTGAGAAGTTTTACAGATTTGAAGTATATTCACTGTCTGCTTTGAAATTTGTTTTTTTATGAGTTTTAAGTTCATTAAAAGATATGCTGTCTTTAGGATAGGTAGTTTTAAAGGTTTTGTTGATTTTAGGATGTCCTCTATTCTCTTTATCTTCATTAAATTGAGTCATGAGGGATGGCAGAGTGGTTCAAGTGTTAGAGCACCTGCCTAGCAAGTGTGAAGCCCTGAGTTCAAACCCCAGTACCACTGAAAAAAAAGAAGAGAAAAAATTGAGTCATGGAGGAGACTTTTAAAGGACTACTTTCTTCCTTCCACGTTACCACATGTGTACAGTCATTTGCTGCCTGACAACATTTTGGTCAACCACATATACATTGGTGGGCCCATGAGATTATGGGTGGACTCATCACCTAGTGAGTGATGTGTTAGCTATCTTAGTTTATGAAGGTACACTCTATGCTGTTTATAAAACTGAATTTGCTCAACAAAACATTTCTCAGAGTGTTTTCCATGTTGTAACGCATGGCTGTAACCATATTATAGGTAAATAGGAGTTAAAATTTTTTAATGTAAAATGTTATTTTTTGAGACATGTACTTACAACTACTTACATTTTGGCCTTTTCCTCCCCACTTCATAGAGTCCAGTTAACAGTGTGTCTCCGGGTCATCATTAAACATGATTTTCCTGGCCACTGGCCAGCGGTGGTCGACAAGATAGACTATTACTTGCAATCACAGAACAGTGGAAGCTGGCTTGGCAGTTTATTATGTCTGTATCAACTGGTGAGGACTTATGAGTAAGTTGGTTCCCTTTAGCTGAAGACCACAGCCCTGTGTAACTTTGGAATTAAGTTACTAGAGGGGTCTTTATTATGTTCTGCAGAATCAGGTTTATTTGGACTAAGCACAGTTAAACATGTTTTTTTACTCATTGCTAAGGAAACCTTAATCTTCTAATGTACATTGCTAATTTCTAAGACTGCTGTATAATATGTAGTGCTTTTAAAATTTGTTAGATTCAGAGGACTATTTACTAAAACTTTTCTGGAAACTGCTATAGAGCTACCTTAACATTTGTCTTCTGGTGAGCATATTATTAAGTAAATCAAATCAGGTACTTTTCTGAATGCATGGTAAAAAATGTTAAAGTATTTCTGTTAGTTACATTCTTTTCCATAAAAGTTGCTTGCAAGGTGGTGGACTTAGATTTAATAGTATTTTTTGAGATGGAGTTTCATTATATTGCCCAGCTTGGCCTTGAATTTGAAATCCCCTAGCCTCAACCTCTCAAGTGCTGGGATTATAGGCTAGTTCAGATTGTATTTGTAGAATTTTTGGAGAATATTTTAGATTTATATCAATGGAAATCATCTGAGAGCACCCACGTTTGTAAGCTATTTTAACTTCTCAATTTAGGGCAATATAAGAAAAAATTTTCCCACATATTTGCTATGTAATATGAGCATCTAGTTGGGCATCAGTGGCTCACGTCTGTAATCCTAGCTACTCAGGAGGCAGAGCTCAGGAGGATTACCATTTGAAGTCAGCCCAGGCAATTAGTTCACAAGACCCTATCTTGAAAATACCCAACACAGAACAGGGCTGGTGGAGTGGCTCAAGTGGTAGAGTGCCTACTTAGCAAGCATGAGTCCTGGAGTTCAAACCCCAATACCACAAAAGAAAAAAAATGTCTATTACAACTAGCATATTAACTTGTATTTAATAGGATGGATTGTGGTTTGATGAAAATTAAATACTAGAAAAAATTTTGTTAAAAAAACTACCAAATAGTTGTGGGTTTAAACTAGTCTAATTGTTTCTAGAAAGTTTTTAGCTATTCTGCCTGAAACAGGGATGAACTGTGTTAAAGTTCCTTCCAACATTATTTTTTTGTGGTACTGAGTCTTGAACTCAAGGCTTGCTAGGCAAGCACTCTACCACTTGAGCCACTCCACCAGCCCTTTTCAGTATTGGGTATTTTCAAGATAGGGTCTTGAGAATTATTTGCTCGGGCTGGCCTTGAACACTAATCTTCCTGATCTCTGTCTCTTGAGTAACTAGGATTACAGGTGTGAGCCACTAATACCAGCTTCTTCTAATATTATTTTAAAAATAGAAATAGAAAATGTGAGCCAATGCTCTGCATGTTTTGGTTTTATGTAGTTAAGTATTTGTTTTTATTCATTGTTTTTAGCTCTTTGGGAAAAAAACGAGAAATTATTTTTCTTTTTATCTTTGTTCATGTAGATATAAGAAAGCAGAAGAAAGAGAACCTCTCATAGCAGCGATGCAAATATTTCTGCCACGTATTCAGCAACAAATTATGCAGCTCATTCCTGATTCCTCCCATTATTCTGTATTATTGCAGAAACAGATTCTGAAAATCTTTTATGCACTTGTGCAGGTATGTTTTTATGGCAGAAGACAAATATGGGGCCTTGTATTTCTACCTAACGTGGAATATGCTTGATAAGTATCAGTTATTAAAAACTATATATTCTCCCATGTATTTCTTTAAAAAAATCCTTATGACAAACTGGCTTGAAGAAATTAACCTAATTACCATGGCCATCTGAGTTGCGGAAGTGACTTTCAGTCCTTTGTGCTGCTGTCACTTTAGTCTGAGGTCCTGAGTAAGCAAGAATCAAGGTGTTACTTGCTCCAACACTTGCACTTATCTGTCCAAAGCATCCCTTCTTGTAGATGAGTCATGATTATAGGGGAAGAGGAAGGAAAAGAAGAGAGTACTTCTTTTATTGGCAAATCATAGTGATGTTAGTTTCTCAGTCTTTGACCCAACTTAAAACTAATAAGATTTAGTAACTCATTTGCCTAGATTTAAACCACTCCCCTTTTCTTATCTGAAAGCTATAAGGGTTACTTATATGGGAACCTAAAAAAATTATTAGAAGATAGAGATGGAATGTGTTTAAAAATACATCAAAGAGAATATCCCCCACCCAGCACAAAAAAACCCAAAAAAACAAAAAACCAAGAATATTTAACACTGAATCCTTGAAAGATTTGGGTTAGATTATTTAGGTCTGTGTGGAGGAAGTGTTATTGTCAGCCTAATCTGCTTGATGATGAAAGAATTAAAGCTGTAACACATGCTTCCTGGTTAAGCTACTCATGACAAGAGGATAGTTTTGTTGAGCTGGAGAGCTGAGCTAGTCTTGGCTTCATACTTGATTTAGGTACTTTTGCACCTTTTAGGTACCTGTTTAGAATGTTTCTCTTCAGTAAAGAGTTATAGTTGTATTAAATTCTGATCTTTTAAACTTTTAATGGAGATAGTCTGAGGTACATTTTTTTTTTCTTTTTAGTTCAGCAGTTTTGAAGGAAGGAGAGGGAAAGAGGCAAGTCTGAGAAGAGAGAAGAAACTAGAAAAATACACTCTCCCATCTGTCTTTTTAAGTAATAGGGAAGGAAGATTCATGGGGCAATTACTTATCAAAGTGCTGTTTAGCAGTCTTCCTCAGGAGGATCACTTTTCTCTCAGGCAGATTGTTTTTATTCAGAGATGTTTTGGCACTTGATACAGTAATAGCCCATTTATTCAGAGGCTAGACTTTCGTTCCCCACTGGGAGAAACACAGCCAGGAAGTGGGCAGTAAGACAAAGACTGATGAAATAATTTTTCTAAAGCCTCTTCTTTGACTTGATTCACTTAAAAGGACAAATCTGTAATATTTTCTCTTAACCCATACATGTTAAATTCCTAAAGAAGAAGAAGAAAAAAAAATGATGAAAAACCCTCAACATTTTTTTTTAAACAATTTTGATAATCTTTTATATTACTAAAACAGTAATATTCTTCTCTGGAAGCAAAAATTTTAAAGGATTTGAGAGACACAATTGCAATAATAATGTTAAGTAAACAGTGACTGTCCAATAATATGAGAGGATCCAGAGGAATTGTTTTTAAAAGTCTGATAAAAGGAGATTGATTTTGTCTAAATAGCATTTAGCATTTGGTATGGGGCACATTGATATTTCATATGTACCTCAGAAATTGCCCTTTTCTTCCTAACTCAGGGCCTCATGCTTGCTAGGCAGCTGTTCTACCACTTGAGCCCTTCTGCCATCAGTCGTTTTTGTGTGTGTTGGGTATTTTTGAGATAGGGTCTCACTTTTTGCCTGGCTCACCCTGAACTGTGATCTTCCTGATCTCTGCCTCCTGAGTAGCTAAGATTATAGGCACGAGCCACTGGCACCCAACCCAAGTGTGAACCTCTTAATGCGGCCTTCCACCTTTGTCTTTTATCATTCTGTGTTTGTACTTAATTTTTTTTTCTTTTTCCAACTACAGTGCAAGCCCAACTACAGGGCAACAACTCTGTCTCCGCCTTATCATTATATCCTTAGAATATAGCATATTTTGGAACAGGCGTTTGTGGAGACCTATCCATTGTCCTTTGCAGCTCACAGGGTAACAGGGTAATCCAGAGTGGACTGTGGTTATTATGCCATGGCACAGAAGAAAGTAATTGAAAAGATGTTTCGTTAGTGTTCAATAAGGTAAAGATTTTCATCCAAGTGGTTAAAATTGAAAGGTTGGCACACAAAGAAGTAAATAATGAAAATCTCTTCCCTTGAATATTGTGCTGAGTAAATGAAGCCTTTAATGATATTAAATTAAAAAAAAATTTAAAACGTAGCCCAAAGAAACAAGTCATGACATGTATATTTCTGAATGAAAAAAATTTAGATATATATGCTTTAGATCTACTTTTAAGTTAAATTTTAGGTTGAATCACGAAATTACTATTTTCATGCTTAAATATTAGCTGTTTTATATATTTTAATCTTCCAATACAGATAAAATGGCCGATTTTTTACGGAAAGAATTAACAGTTGTTTATGATATTGCCCTGTTTTTCAGTATGCATTGCCTCTTCAGCTGGTGAACAACCAAACCATGACAGCGTGGATGGAGGTCTTCCGAAGCATCATTGACAGGGCGGTCCCTCCTGTAAGATAGATACTGGGGAGACTTGGGTTTGTAGTGCTTGTGGTAGGCTAAATCATTATTCTGCCTCCTTGAGAAAAATTACTTCAGTAATGCTAATTGATAAGCTAGTTCACAATGCTCATTTCTAAAAAGTTCATATCTGTAAAAATAATAAAATAATAACTATTAAATCTTACTAAAAATGGAAAAAAAATTTAAAAACCGATACTTATTCCTCTGTTTTTTTTCTTTGTATTTATATATAATATTTCATTTATAAAAATAATACATGAGTTGGGTGTGGGTGGCTCAACGCCTGTAAACCTAGCTATTCAGGAGGCGGAGATCAAGAGGATTGCTTCGAAGCAAGCCCAGGCAAATAGTTCACAAGACCCTGTCTGGAAAATACCCAACACAAAAAAGGACTGGTGGAGTGGCTCAAGTGGTAAAATGCCTACTTAGCAAGTGTGAAGCCCTAAGTACAAACCCCAGTACTGCCAAAAAGGAAAAAAAAAAAAATAGTGCATACATGCCTGGAGCCAGTGGCTCACACCTGTAATCCTGGCTACTTGGGAGGCTGAGATCAGGAGGATTGAAGTTCAAGGCCATCCTGGAGGCAAATAGTTTTAGAGAACATCTCCAAAATAAGCAGAGCAAAATGGACTAGAGGTGTGGCTCAAGTGGTAGAGTACCACCTGTTTTGCAAGCAAAATGCCCTGAGTTCAAACTCCAGTCTCACCAAAAAAAAAAAAAGATAAAATGTAAATTTATTTTCACCTTAAATTTAATATACTTAATTTTTTTTATTATGACTTTAATATTACCATTTTTATGACTTCATTTGCAGGATGTTTAGGTTTTAAATTTTTAGTCTTTTAACTGTAAGAATGTAGTAAATTTTTTGTGTATATACATGATTATTTTCTTCAGGTAAACTCCTAAGACTGTTTAAGCTTTTACAAATGCTACAAAATGATCATGAGAAGGGCGTCCTGGCTTATATTTTATTTTCTGAGCATCTTGTTTTTGGGGGTTTGAACTCAGGGCTTTAAGTTTGCTATGCAGGCTCTCTGCTGCTTGCTCTACACATCCAGCCCTGGTTTATACTTTAATAAGCAGTGACCGAGAATGCACTTGATTCTTCTCTTTTTTTTTCTTTTGAGGTACTGGGGTTTAGAACTCAGGGCCTCACTCTTGCTAGGCAAGTGCTCTACCACTTGAACCATACCTCCAGCCCCTTGATTCTTAAGTTTGCTTGTTTCATAGGTAAAAGATATTTTGATCTGTAATAATACTTATATTGTTTTTATCTCTCAAATTAGCTTGTATTTTTAAAATTTAAGTTAGTATTAAAATGTACATTTTTTTGGTTGTCCATATATATATAGATATAGATAGAATATATCTGTATATATGGAATGAGTCCAGGGCCTGTGAATGCTAGGCACATTTTCTTCCACTGAACTCTGCCCTGAGTCTCATTAACCATATCTTGAAACAAATTATTTAGAGGTTTAATGTGCATGCATAAATACACAAAACAGTAAATGGTGTGTTGAATTTTGACAACATACAATTATACTACCCTCACCCAGATCAAAATGTAAAACCTTTTCATTATTTCAGAGTTTTATCAAGGGAGCATGGTGTTTGTATTTTGTTTTCTGTATATTTGGTCCTTCTGAAGATAGGAGATAAATGTGAACTGCAGTGTTGTCTAGTTGAAATTTATTTTGCCTACTTCCTACTTAGCATCTAAAAAGAATGTGCATTTGTGTAGTAATATGACTTCATATCTGATATGACTTTAGGTTTATTCTGCTTTTGTAAATCTTTTAATTATGTAAAAATTTAATCTGAGTGTTTTGTCCTCTTAGGAGACTCTGCAAATTGATGAGGATGACAGGCCAGAACTGGTATGGTGGAAGTGTAAGAAATGGGCACTGCTTATTGTAGCTCGTCTCTTTGAACGGTAATTCTCATTTATTGCGTTTGCAGCCTTACAGTCAGCCTTGGTATTGTCTATAATAGAACTGGATAGTTGCAGTGTATATTCAGCATTAAAACTACAGGGGGAAAAGAGTCACCCTCTGTTGGAAGTTGGCTTAATTGTGATCATTGACTTTGAGATCATAATGAGGTAGACAGCTTTATCTGGCTTTTTTCTGTGAAAAACCTGGAAAGGTGAGCATTGTTCAGTCTGTTAGAAATACTCAGGAATTTTTCAAGAAGGTGAATTGCCACTTAAGTTCGTAAGAAAGTCAAATTTAATTTTAAAAGCATTTATTGAAGAGACATGTTAGATATAGCATTTTATTCCTAATATCAGCCCTTTAGTTCTTGGGTTAGAAGGTAAAAGCTTCTAAGTGTGGTCCAGAACCTGAGTATAGCTATTCATGATTCACTGTGTGTTTTGTGAAAAAAGGGAAAAGTGCTGGTTTTCTTGCCTAATAGAATATTTCTTTCAGTGACATGTTTAACTAGTGAGCATGCTTTATTCTAAAACTTAACAGTATTTAAATGTTTCTTCTTTGAAATTTAAGGTATGGAAGCCCAGGAAATGTCACAAAAGAGTACTTTGAATTTTCTGAATTTTTTTTGAAAACCTATGCAGTGGGAATTCAGCAGGTAATAAATTTATGCTCTTAAAATAGAAGGGTTAGTTGTAACTGATAGCTACTTCTGTTTAAAAGTACATCATAGACATATTAATTCATTCTGTATTTAAACAGGATGAAATAGCAGCTCTGGGAATCTAATACAGGGCAAGTGGTTTTAGAATCCAGTCTCCTAGGGCAGCTACCCCTAGAACTGCCTTTCCTGACTCCTGGATTCGGGATGCATACCTTTACATTTGTTAAAAGCGGTGTAGCAGTCACCAGTGCTAGATTGGGCTCTTCTGTTAATATTCTTTGGCTTCTTACAAGTTCCTTAACTTATGTCTTTGAGCTTTACCTCTTCTAGTTCAAGAGTGGACGAGCTTAGATATTAAGACTCTCAGCTGAGAACTTACACATTTCTATGGAAGTTTGAGAACTTTTCTCTGAAGTGAAAATTAGGAGTTCTTGTGAAACATTAAGTGTTCATATTTAAAAACTTTAAAAACTATGAAGGACAAGTAGGCTATAAAGATTGGTTCATCAGTATTCCCATTTGATTCATGACATTCTTGTTATTTTTCAACAAATAAAATTAGTAATTTACTCACTGTGTCAGTACCCTGTTAAGGAAGGCTTTAATATATAAAGGCTATTCTTGGATATTTGTAAATGTTTGTCAGTGTTACAAAGTTAAGTGCTTTGAGCCTGTCACTGTAAGCTGGAATGTTTCCTTTTATGTATTATCATTTAGGCTAGTAGATTGCTTTCTAAAAAGTACTATGGGGCTAGAAGCGTGGCTCAAGTGGTACAGTGCCTGCCTAGCAAGCACAAATTCAAGCTCAGTACTAGAAACAAGACAAAGCAAACAAACAAAAACTGCCACATTTCAGGAAAGCTGTAGCTACAATTTTCTCACAATTATTTTGTTGACCCATGAGATAATCTATAGGGAAAATTAATAAGTAATAAAATGATAGTGGTGAATAAAATTGTCCGTCCAGTAATTCAGAGTGCATACCAGGATAATCAGGAAGCTGACCATTTCTTTCTTCACCTCTTCCAATGGCTGTTAAACTCTTAAGTATATTAAAGTGGGTGTGCACTTGAAGTGTTTTTAGTAGAAACTTTCCAGTGTCATGTAAGCATATATGTTTGTGTACCTGTGAACACATATGTTTAAAACTATATCTCATGCTAGTGCATCCTTTCCAAAATTCTTTGTACCTTGGTTATTTAAGACATAAGTTCTTGGTATTTAAAAATAGCTTTCTATTATTTTTAAGAACTGTTCTCTCCTCACCATGTCTCCTCTCACGTTGCACTTTGTATGAGATACGCTGTTAGGAAGAATCATGTTCACTCTCATCCTTTCCCCTCCCTTGCAGGGGATGGTAGGACTTGTGGTGGATTTTATAAACCTGACTTTTAGGTGACTTGAACAAAACCCATGTTATGAACATACTTTGAAAGGTTCAGCAACTCACAAGTTTGCTAGAGTGACTAGAGTACTGGAGGTCAGGAATTGGAAGACTTGTATTTTGTTGTTGTGCTTCCTCTGCCTTGGGCAGTCACAGCTGCTTTGCATGTTCCTTCCTAATGAGCAGTTGTTTTAATCAGTTTTTACAGATAACTTCTCACTTTTGTGTTATGTTTACAAAGGTCTTCTGTGGTCCAAGATTGTAATATAAAATTCTCCCACATAGTCTTCTAGGAATTGTTCTTTTTCTTTGGTGGTACTGGGGTTTAAACTTGCCCTTACAGCAGGCAAGTATTCTACCACTTGAGCCATTCTTCCAGCCCTAGGGATTATATGCTTTCATTTTGTTGTTGTTGAAATATTTCCACATCTGGAGCTTATCTTGGTAGGAAGTTTAGTTAGGGATCTAGTTTAATTTTTTTTTAAAGAGTTAATCAGCTGTACCTATACTATTTTTGGAATAATGGTTTATCTTCCAGTTTGAAGAGTACTTATCAAATAATAAAATCTGTTTGTGTTGTCCTTATTATATGGAAGTTTTTATTCAGTCAGTCTGTTATTATTTTAAAAAGAGGAGTCTTATTTTAGAGAACTAGCAGCTGAATAGAACTTAGACTTATTCTGAGTAGTTCCACAGGTTAGAAGTAGGATAAACGCCTGGAAGTCACAGTGAGACATTCTTATTTCAATATAACACGGATCTACCAAGTAATTAAAACTACCCATATGAGCTTTCTCATAAAATACTGATTTTTTTTCCCAAATCTGTTAATATTTAGTTCTGTGTATGTAGGATCTTCTGTCTTGCCTAAAATGTTTCCCTTATCTTTTAATCTTATAATTATTCTTTTGTGTTTTCTATTTCTGTTATCCTACAGGTACTACTAAAAATTTTAGACCAATATAGACAGAAAGAATATGTAGCCCCCCATGTTCTTCAGCAAGCATTCAATTATCTCAACCAAGGCGTTGTTCATTCTGTAACCTGGAAGCAGATGAAGCCACACATACAGGTCAGCCTCAGAGAGCAGCTCTCCAGAACCATTCTTTGATTGAATTAGGTTTTCTAGATAAAACATAAAACCAGTGTTATGTTTTATATTTAATGTCTCTTTATTTCCACTAATAATTTTTAATAAGTTCAATCTTACATCTATTATGAAGGGCTTGGAAGATTTAAGCATTTGAGAAGAGTGTGTCCTTTAGGTTTTGTGAGTTGGAAGAATTGGATTCAGTTGATCTTATTTGAAATCTCATTTAACCTCAGTTTCTGTTCTGTGGAGGCAGATAATATTTTTCTAACCTTTTTATCTAAAGGTTGCTGGGATCAAATGAGGTATTTCATGTGAAAGCATTTTGAAAACTGCCAGCAGAGCCATTGTAAAATAGTGTTATTTTGTAGAAAATGAAGTCTGATATGTGACCATTTTCTTTTGTAGGGATGAGCAGAAAAGGTTTTTATGTCTTTTTTGGGATTAAGTTGTTTAGTAGAAGTTAAAGTTTTCTGATTTCATATCAGTTGTTTACTTCAAAGTAGAATTCTGTATTGTTATTTAATTCAAAAAGAAATGGGAATGGAAAATGGTGGTGCATTAAAAAATAAATAACTGGGTAATTCAGATATTAAGCTCTGAATTTCCACCTATAAACTATGAGTTCTTAAATTCTGTAAATTGGTATGTGAAAAGAAAATTATTTCACTTTGCCTTTGATTAGTGTTATATCAATATAAATCTTGCAAATATAATACTTTTTAATGTTTTTGTGTGGCCATCTTGATAACTATTTGCCTTCTCATTTTGATCAAATAATGATAATTCCTTTGCAGTTAATAATGATAGATTTAATTTTATATACTGTATTAGTATAAAGTACGGGTGAATTGTGATAGCCTTTTTTTGTCCACTTGATAACATTGGCCTTATTTTTACATGGCTGTAATATAATGTTGACTGAGTTTTTTCCCCTTAGAATTATTCAATTTGGAATAAGTAGTGAGACGTGGTCTTGTTTTTATAGGTAGTTGTTAGAACACAGCAGGGATTACTGGCCATTCGCAGCAGTGTACAGAGAGGATACTAGGTACAACATTTCTCTCTGAAATGCAAAATTGTGCAGTAGAATATTGGCTTTTTTGAAAATGGAATAAGAAAAGAAAAATTTAATATTGTTCATACATTGAAATTTAACACTAACAAGGACATATTAGGAATCTCCAATAAGGAATAGTAAATGTAGTCCTGACTTGACATTTTTTCTTAAGGAAATCAGTCTGTTTAATGTTGATTTTTTTTTTTTTTTTTAGTAAAACCTTATTATCCCTGTTGTTGCTTCACAGAAGAATATCTACATTAGTTGCTTCCTTTATGCTTCTAATCACTTGCTGTTCAAAAACAATTTCATGTTTAACTCTTCATTGCCTTCGCCTTTGCAGATCTCTTGCTTTCCTACTTTCACTGTAGCAAATGCAGGCTTAAAAGGATTAACATCATTGATTAGAAAACTAACATCATGAAGTCTGTCAATAAATACCTTACTAGTAATCCCCAAGCCTGTTCTCATTCATCGTTTTGTTTTTTTTCTTACCTTAGAATATCTCTGAAGATGTGATTTTTTCTTTTATGTGCTATAAAGATGAGGATGAAGAACTGTGGCAAGAAGATCCATATGAGTATATAAGGATGAAGTTTGGTAATTGAGATTGTTTTCCTTATCAGTTCCTGAATATATAAAGTAATAAGATTAAATTATATTTTAAAGCATCTTTTACCACTTCGTTAAATTTCCAAAGTTCTTTGCATGACAAACTCTGAAACTCATGAGAGTCTGATGTTCTTTTGCACCAAAGGGATTTGATACTTTAGAATGGGGGAGACAAAAAGCCACTGTATTTATTTCTGTTAGGGATGCTGAAGCACTCATGGGGCTGTCTAGTACTTAGGCTGTGAGGTGCCAGACTGTAGGGCCCACGTTTCTTGTGCTCTTTGGGATACCCATTTATAGGTTGGGTTGTTTTCAGTTCTGGGAAATCCTTTGAATTTCTGCATGTTTTAGAGGCATTTGGATTGCTTCTTAATCCTGTGGACTAAGTATTCCACAAGGGAATAGAATTTCCTTCAGAGGCCCCATGTTGTGTGGCTTAGTTCTCTGGAGGTCCTTTTAGCTTGGATCTTCCTGGAAGCTGTTCAACTACTTGGGTTGCCTTAGTCATTGTCTTATCTTTAGTTAAGCACTTAGGTTAATTTGTGTACCTCCTACAACTTGTTATCTGTGGGCAGGAACCTTAGCTTATTTGCTTTATTTTGCATCCTTTTCTCTTCCTCACTTCTACTCCCCTAGTGGTTAGCCCAAGTAAATGTTGAAATAAATGATTCTAGAACTAACACTAAGGCACAATGAAGGTGCTGTGACAAAGCAGTGTTTCTCTTTTTTGAGCCAGGTACGTCTGGCTACCTGAATTAAATTTACTTAAACCTACCAGGTATGTGCTGAATCATTGAACTTTGTCATTACATTGCTTTCTGTCAGCTGATTGAGTAAATGAGGAGGCATTTCTTCACTTGGAGACAAAAGTACAGGAAAAGCAAATGAAGTAGAAATGACATTTGCCATCTGTTTTTTGTCTCTGTTTTCTTTTGAAAGTCATTACTCACGTGCAGGATTTACTATTTCCTTTCTTTTGCTAGTTTGTTTTGACAGCTGAATGATTACCCAAACTTCAGTTTTCTTTAAGACATTCTTTTAGTGTTTACCTATTTTCTAATACCTGTGTGTTTTTGTAATGTACAGAGTATTTGTGTACCTTTCAGATACCTACCCGTATTTAATTTATTCTTCATGTCTGATAAGACAGCATCTTAGTTTTTAGGAAATATGATAATAGCTCTCTGTGCGTTGATTACTGTGAGAATTTGCATTTTATTGATTGTTTAAAAGAGAATGTGGATAGCTGAAGACTAGCTGATGCATTTTCCTTTATCATTTCCTTTTGTGAACTAGAATGCAGTGTGATACTTGATATGTGTATTTTGCTTTTAGGTAACTAGTGCAGAACGATTACTGTATTTAAAATTTTTTTGTCACTTGCAATTATTTATATGAACAAAATATTCCTGTTGAAATTTATTGATTGATATTAATAATGATTTTATTAATTTTTTTTTAATTCTAGCTTTTAACCAGCATTTCACTGTTTCCCCTAATAAAAATGTTTTTAGATTTGGTAAAACTGACAAGAGTTAGTCTTTGATGTTACAAAAACCTGGATATATGAGTACTGGCTTGGTTGCTTACTTGTGGAACTGTAGGCAGGTTGCTTAACCTCTCTAATATGTAATGTTTTCAGCTGTAAAATGGGTATAATAGTAATACTGGAAGGATTTAATGGGCTAACACAAGGAACTAAAATTGTAGTGTGAAATTGTGTAACACCTGGCACAGAGTATTAAAATGTTAGTTTATGAGTATTATTTATTATATTTGTTTTTTATTTTTGAGAAAAAGATTCAGTTTGGTTTTATTTTTCATATTTAAACAGTGCTTCATCTTTAGATTGCCATGGAGGACATCCCCCTCATTTTGTTTGATTTCTTCCTAGGTTTACTGAACAGAGAATTAGAGGGGCTTTCCTTACACCCTTACTCTCTCACTCCTCCTTTTCCTAATATGTATTGTTTGTCTTTAGTATGATTATTTGAAAGGAAAACCTGTAGTTTGATAAATACTGTGTGCATGAGAATATTGATGATACATCCTTAGCTTCTTTATGCTGTAAACATGTGTCATCTGAGCTATTTTACTTTTTGGTCTGTTACAGTGGTTGGTCAGGTTTAAATCTATTTAATGAGTAATTGTGTTTTTACTAACATGATTTAACCTTTTGAAATCTTAGGTATATTTGAAGATTATGCTTCTCCCACCACAGCAGCCCAGACTCTCTTATATACTGCTGCAAAGAAAAGGAAAGAGGTATATAGCTGCTCCTTTTAAATCCCAAGTGAAAATAGCCTGCATTGATTTGACATTCTAATATACCCTTAGTATTTGAAAAATCAGACAGTTACTAGTTATGACCTGTCACCTTAAGATTTTTTTTTTGATTCTAGTAAGGGAAAAGGGTGAATTGTTTTTGGTTATTTTTTTCTTAATAAAATAAACCTTTCTTACTGAGCTTAAAGTTGCTTGGAAAAAAAAACCAATAAAATGACTTTGCTTTGAAATTTTTTACATCATATTTAATACTACCATAAGACAATGAAAGTTCATGCACACTAAAATGGATTTTTTTTTATTTCTTTAGGTATTGCCAAAAATGATGGCATTCTGTTATCAAATCCTAACAGATCCGAACTTTGACCCTAGGAAGAAAGATGGAGCCCTGCATGTGATTGGTTCCCTAGCTGAGATTTTATTGAAGGTTAAGATTATCCAGATTTAATTTACTTAATAAGACTGTGAAGTTTAGGCAAATAAGCAAGTATGCAGATTATTCATAATTTAAAACTGGCGACTACTTCTAGATGATTGAGTATACTGTAAATGTCCTTTCTGTCATCTATTTAATTAAAAAGAAAATTTTACTTTTGTTAGTTTTTCAGCGTGAAACTACTACTCTATACAGAAAGATCTGAAATAACTTTAGTATTATGTCTTAGTTCAATAAAAAAAAAATCAGTATCAAATTGATCTAAGGTACTATTTGTGTTAATGTAAAACATGCAATATGAGGTCAACCAGTTTTACAAAACTATAAATAGAAGTATATTAGATGTAAGTCATAATAAACTTATTTTATTATTAAGTGATTCTTACATGTGAAAAAGTCATTGATGCATTGAAATTTAATTTCCATTTCCTAACAGAAGAGTTTATTCAAGGACCAAATTGAATTGTTTCTGCAGAATCACGTATTTCCACTATTATTATCTAACTTGGGATATCTTCGAGCTCGGGTAAGTTTTCTATATTTCTGTTATGTATCTTAAAATCTCCATCTGTAAGGTAACTATTAAAATAAATGTGATACTTTACTAAGAAGTAAAGTATGTGTGTGACATTATTACAGAGTGCCATAATCCTAATATTGCCCTCCTTATTTCCTATAATACAGTCCTGCTGGGTGCTGCATGCATTTAGTTCTCTGAAGTTTCATAATGAGCTCAACCTAAGAAACGCAGTTGAATTAGCAAAGAAGAGCCTGATTGAAGATAAGGAGATGCCTGTGAAAGTTGAAGCTGCCCTTGCTCTTCAGTCATTAATTTCTAACCAGATACAAGGTGAAGCCAAAAATACTTTTTAGAAAGGTTATTTTTTTAGTTTTTGAGATGGTCTTACAAATAATTTTATTTAGTTCCTACCCTGAAGAAGGGGATTCTCAGGCCTAGGTATAGCTCAAGTGCTAGAGTTCCTGCCTAGCAAGTATGGAGCCTTGCATTCAAACCCCAGTACTATCCCCCTTTTCTCCCCCTGGGTGCTGGTAGCTCACACCTGTAATCCTACATGTTTGGGAGGATTGTGGTTTGAGACTAGCCTGGGCAAAAGTTAGTGAGACGCCATCTCAACAGAAAAATGCTGGGCATCATGGTGTGCACCTGTCATCCCAGTGATGGTGAGAAGCTTAAAATAGGTGGCTCAAGGGTAAGGCCAGCCTAGGCAAAAGGTGAGACCCTAGTGTAAAGCCATAAGTTCAAACCCCAGTCACACACACACACACACACACACACACACACACACACACACACACGGGGATTCTCTTAAGTCTGAGCTCAAAAGTTTGGATTCTTGGGCTTTTGCTCCTCAGAATATTATAGGGTTTTTTTTTTTTTTCCTTGCCCTTTTAGGAGTTCCCATTCATTTTGGTTTCCAGGAAAACAGATTAGGAAACAAGCTAATAATTGCTGGGCACTGGGGTAGGCTGAGAATCAAGAGACATGGTATTTAGTTTTGATTCTGCTACTAACTTGCTACATAAAGCTGGGTGAAGCACAAGATCTATCAAGGGTTAGAGTTCCATATATTTAAATTTAAGGGGGTTAGACTAGATGGCCTCAGTATGGTTCAGTCTGTTCTAAAAGTAGCAAGTACTATTTCTAGCAAGTGGTAACACAGAAATACTTCATTGGTTTGTTTAGAACAATATCTGTTCAAAGTTCAGATAAACCTTTTTTAAAAAAATTATGGGAATCCAGATCTCTTGTTTCATTTATTTATTTAGGCAGCACTGGGGTTTGAACTCAGGGCCTTGTGCTTGCTACGTGGGGACTTTACCACTTGAGCCATATCTCCAGTCCTCAAATAAACCTTTAAATGGAAATTCAGCTTTGTGAAGAGCATAAGCCTCATTTGCCTCTATTCAACAGTGGTTCAATGAGAGGATTGGATACTGTATAGTGAGTGATATGTTAGGAGATGGGTTAGGGCAGGGATGTACCCAATCAGTGTTGAGCATAGTCTTTGTGTGCATGATTTTTTTTTTTATGCTTCTCATTATGATGGATGTAATATTATTTACGTTCTCCAAGTCATGCTGATGACAGAACACATGTATAATTAAGATTTCTTAGTGGGGACTGTTAGCATTTGGGGCAGACAATCCTTCCTGTGTTGAACTGCTTATCCTTATATTACTCATGGGAGGATTAATGTGGTGAACAAGCTTTGTAACTTACTCACTACATAGCAAGTATCCATCTCAAATCTTACTGTGGTATTACTCTTGTCATTTGACCTTGTGACCAACTTAGTTCCTTTAACCATCTGTGAATGGCTAATTTTTGCTAACTTTGTTTGTTTTATTGTATTAGCTAAGGAATATATGAAGCCACATGTGAGGCCTATTATGCAGGAGCTGTTGCACATTGTTAGAGAAACAGAAAATGATGATGTTACTAATGTTATTCAGAAGATGATTTGTGAATACAGTCAAGAGGTGGCATCAATTGCTGTTGACATGACCCAACATTTGGTAAGACTGGGCAAAGTGTTATGTTAGTTTGGCATAAAAGCCTTGAGTAATCCAAAATTAAGCTACAAAATTTGGAGTTCAGTTTTATTTGTAACTGAAATATCAATATAAAAACATGTTTTCTGCTGGTTGGAGTGGCTCAAGTGGTAGATCACCTGCCTAGCTAGCATGAAGCCCTTAATTTGGACCCCCATACTGCAAAACAAAACAAAAACAAAAAGACATTTTCTCTAATAATTGTGATAGTCCTACAATTAGACTTAAATTTAATAATATTTAGGATAATCTCTTCATTTATAATATCCTGAGATTTCATAATGATAAACTTTGATGTGAGCCTTCTATTTTTCGCTTTCTGGACTTTGAATCTGGAATTTTATTTATTTTTTTTATATGTGTGTCACTTCTTGGATCAGTTTTCCCCTACTGTTTTTTTTTTTTCCTATATTTTTTGATATGGAATATCAGACTTGGACTGTCTCTACTTTCCTTACTTTTTTTTTTTTCCTGTTTTCCATGTCTGTTCTTTTTGTTTTCTTTTTCTAGGTTGACTTTATCTTGACTTTATTTTCTGAACCTATCACATTTTTTCTCCTTAGTGTTCTTGATTTCAGTTTTCCTAGATTTTAACTTTATTTGCTTAATGACAACCAGAAGTTAAATATTAGCTAATGGTTTTAATAGCTAATATGTGCTCTACTGTAGTCACTAGATAAGGACAAATGATAATATTAAAAACATGATGGTTCTTGCTGTTAAAAGTAAAGAGGGTTCAGTTAGCAAAGTGCAGACCTTAAAATTTGAGTACTGCTGGCATTTTGATGTGTGGTGCTATTTTTATAAAATCATTTTTGTTAGTACATATTAGTTGTACAGGGGTATTTCATTGTGACATTTCTATGTGTGCTTAAAATTAACTTTGGTTAGATTAATTCCCTCCATCAGCTCTCCCTCCCTTTCACCCCCTTCTTAAAACAATTTCAACAGGTCTCATTGTTATGTTTTCATAGAAGTATATAAAGTACATTGACCATATTCACCTTTCTTCACCCTCTCCATTCACCTTCCTCTCTTCCAGCTAGTACCCACCCCTGAACATCCTTCTTTATTGTTTTTAGTGTATGTGCATTGTTCAAAGAGGGCTCCCTGTGGTATTTCACATGTGAATATATTGTACTTTAATTAGATAGACCTCTTCGACTACTCTCTTTCCCTGTCTTCCAAATCCCTATTATTCATCAGCTTTCAGTGTGTTTTGTTATGTCACCTTCCTATACAGATGAAATGTATTTCAATGTTATCCACTCTGTATCATTTTCTTTTCCTCTCCTGCCTTCCTCTAGTCCCCTCAAACAGTCTCCCTGTTTCAAACATGATATATGTATCTACCTATCTATCTATGAGGTCATATATGTATTTATGTATACATTTATCTTTTAGGTCTAGCTTCTATATATGAGAAGAAAACATGTGACCTTTGCCATTTTGAATCTGGCTTACTTTGCTTGCTTAACATAATGATTTCCAGTTCATCTATTTACCTGCAAACAACATAATTTCATTCTTCTTTATATCTGAGTAATATCCTGTTGTGTACATATACCACATTTTCTTAATTTATCAGTTGTAGGGCTTCTGGACTGTTTTCCACAATTTGGCTCTTGTGCGATTTAGGGATGTGCAAGTGTCTGCATTGTGTCCTGACTTAAATTCCTTTGGATATATTTCAAAGGAATATAAATCCTTTGGATATATACGGTAGTGCTATTGATGGATTGCATGGTAGTTCTATTTTTAATTTTTTTTGTGGGGGGTAGGGACGTCATACTGGGGTTTGAACTCAGGGCTTCATGCTTGCAAAGCAGGCACTCCACTGCTTAAGCCACAACTCCAGTCCTATTTTTAATTTTTTGAGGAATCTTCTACTGTTTTCCATAGTGGTTGTACTAATTTGCATTCCCACCAACAGTGTATGAGGGTTCTTTTTTCCCCACATCTTTGCCAATATTTATTGTTATTTGTGTCCTTGATAGCCATTCTGGCTGGAGTGAGGTGAAATCTCAATGTTGTTTTGATTTGCATTTCCTTTATGGCTAGGAATGTTGAGCATTTCTTTATGTATTCATTGGCTATTTGTACTTCCTTTGAGAATTGTCTGTTCAGTTCATTTGTTCATTTACTCATTATCTTGTTGATTCTTTGGAGTTCAGTTTCTTGAGCTCCCTATATATTCTGGTTATTAATCTGTTGTCAGATGTATTGTTGACAAAGATTTTCTGCATTTCTGTTGGCTGTCTCTTCAATCAGTGACTGTTCCTTTTGCTGTGCAGTTTTTTAGTTTGATATATTCCCACTTGTCAATCCTTTTTCTTATTTGCTGATATATTGGAATTCTATTCAGGAAATTATTGCTTATATCCATTTATCCAGTGTTTTGCCTATTCTTTCCTGTAGTTTTTAAGTTTTAGATCTTTAATCCACTTAGAATTGATAAAAGTACAAGGTGAGAGACAGGGTTCTAGTTTCAGTCCTATGTGTGGATATCCAATTTTCCTAGCACCATTTCTTTTTTTTTTTTTCTTTTATTATTCATATGTGCATACAAGGCTTGGGTCATTTCTCCCCCCCTTCCCCCACCCCCTCCCTTACCACACACTCCGCCCCCTCCCTCTCCCCCCCACCCCCTCAATACCCAGCAGAAACTATTTTGCCCTTATTTCTAATTTTGTTGTAGAGAGAGTATAAGCATTAATAGGAAGGAACAAGGGTTTTTGCCAGTCGAGATAAGGATAGCTATATAGGGCATTGACTCACATTGATTTCCTGTGCGTGGGTGTTACCTTCTAGGTTAATTCTTTTTGATCTCACCTTTTCTCTAGTTCCTGGTCCCCTTCTCCTATTGGCCTCAGTTGCTTTTAAGGTATCTGCTTTAGTTTCTCTGAGTTGAGGGCAACAAATGCTAGCTAATTTTTTAGGTGTCTTACCTATCCTCAAATCTCCCTTGTGTGCACTCGCTTTTATCTTGTGATCAAAGTCCAATCCCCTTGTTGTGTTTGCCCTTGATCTAATGTCCACATATGAGGGAGAACATACGATTTTTGGTCTTTTGGGCCAGGCTAACCTCACTCAGAATGATGTTCTCCAATTCCATCCATTTACCAGCGAATGATAACATTTCGTTCTTCTTCATGGCTGCGTAAAATTCCATTGTGTATAGATACCACATTTTCTTAATCCATTCATCAGTGGCCTAGCACCATTTCTTGAAGAGACTGTTTTTTCTCCAGTGTGTTTTGGGGGCTCCTTTATCAAAAAATCAAATAGCTGTAACTGCATGAATTTATATCTGGGTTTTCTGTTCTGTTCCATTGGTCTTCATATCTGTTTTTGTGCCAGTACCATGCTGTTTTTCTTGCTATGGCTCTGTAGTGTAGTTTGAAGTCAGGTATTGTGATACCGCTAGTGTTGCTCTTTTTGTTCAGGATTGTTTTGGCTATCTGAGGTTTTTTGTACTTTCATGTGAACTTTAGGATTGATTTTTCTATCTCTGTGAAAAATGTAATTCAGGTTTTGATGGGGGACTGTGGTGAATATATAGGTTGCTTTCAGTAGCATAGCCATTTTCATAATACTGATTCTGTGATCCATGAGTATGGGAGGTCTTTCCAACTTTTGATGTCTTCTTTGATTTATTTCTTTAGTGATTTATAGTTTTCATTATAGAGGTCTTTTATTTCATTAAATTTATTGCTAGGTGTTTTTTTTGAGGCTATTGTGAGTAGGATTGTTTTCTTGATTTCTTTCTCAATATATTCATTGTTGGTATGTAGAAAAGCTACTGATTTTTGTATCCAGCTTCCTTGTTGAAAGTGTTTATATAATCTAAAACTTTTTTTGGTGGAGTTTTTAGGGTCTTTCATGTATAAGATCATATCATCTGCAAATAAGGATAATTTGATTTCTTCCTTCCCTATTTGAATCCATTTTTCTTCTGTCTTACTGCTCTGGCTAGGAATTCCTACTACTGTATTGAATAAAAGTGGGCAGAGTAGACACCCTTGTCTCCCTCCTGACTTTAGAGGAAATGGTTTCAGTTTTACCCCATTTAGTATGATGTTGGTACATTACATCTATTCCTACTTTCTTTTTTTTTTTTGGTACTGGGGCTTGAACTCAGGACCTATACTTTGAGCCACTCCACCAGCCCTTTTTGTTAGGTATTTCAAGATAGGGTCTCATGAACTGTTTGCCTGGGCGGCGTCAAATTGTGATCCTCCTGATCTCTGCCCCCTGAGTAGCTAGGATTACAGGTGTGAGCTACCTAGTTTCTTCATCCTTTTATCATAAAAGGATACTGAGTTTTGCCAAAGACTTTTTCTCAGCAATTGAGGCAACATGTGATTTTTGTCCTTAATTCTGTTTATATGCTATATTACATTTATTGATTTGTGTATATTAAACCACCCTTGCATCCATTGGATAAAACCAACTTGATTGGATAAAACCTTTTTGATAAGTTGTTGAATTCAGCTCGCAAGCTTTTTCTTGAGAATTTTTGTGAAGTTGCCTTTTTGCTGTGGGTATATAATGATCCTAATTGTTGAATATTTTAATGTGATTTTCATAGGCTGAGATATTTGGTAAAGTTCTTCAAAGTGATGAATATGAAGAAGTTGAAGACAAAACAGTAATGGCTATGGGAATTTTACATATCATTGATACTATTTTAACAGTTGTAGAAGATCATCAGGAGGTGAGATTTCTTTGTTTTTATGATGACATAATAGTAATATTAACTGACATGTGATTGGTGGTTATAAATTTTAAAGTCTTGGCTTTTAAAATTTCATGTTTGCTAGGCTTTAAAAATTGCCCTCATCTCCAACCCTTGGGAGACTAAGGTAGAAGAATTGTGAGTTCTAGGCCAGCTAAGGCTGTGGAGCCAAGGCCCTGTCTCAAAAACAAAGCAAAACAAAAAGTCCCCAAATTTTAAAGAAACATTGAGAAGAAAAAATACATGTGTATTTAGGGTGTATAGGAGTATATACTTTTGTATTAAACTGAGTTCAGTTGATCACATCTGCTATGTGCCAGACTAGGTTTTTTGAGGATTCCAAATTGAGTAAAACATGAGATCTATCTTTTAGAAAGCCACAGTGTAGTTTTGGTAGAGAGTGACAGTGGCAAGAGAACAGCATTCTGATGTGACAAGTATTGTAAGAATGGAAGGGAACAAAAGCAGGAGCAAAAACCAAATTCTAGAATTGACTTGGAGTAAGAATTTGCACAGACATTTATCTAGTGCCTTTGCATCATTAGCTAATATGTCTTGGTAATGTCATTGTGTAAGAGAGAGCAGATAATGGTAGCCTCCTTTTATAGGAGGTTTGGGTAACTTCAGGAAACTTGTTAGTGGTTACAGAACTTGTAGGTTGTGAATTTGGGTTTATAGTCAGATCATTCTGATAATGTATCAGTTTTTCCCCACTCAAAGCCTACAGCTATCCTTCCCAAGCATAGCATGGCCTCATCTTAACTCAAATTAGGTGTTTGTTCATTACGTTGTCTGGTTTGGAAGTGATGAGCTCTTGTTTTATCAGTGAGGACTTAGGAAGCAATGCCAGTTCTTTTAACAGAATTGTCAAGCCACGTGGTGCTAATTTATCTTGTGTTTATCAGATAGCCATGGGAGGTTGCTAGATTCTTGAAATTATCTCAGTGTTCTTTTCCTGGACTGTTCATCCTTCATTTGAAGGGCTTAGTGTGAATTTTTATTTCTATATTCATTATTTTTGTGCCTTTCCGTGTTTAAACTCTACAGATCTTTTGGAAATGGAGATATTCCAAATTAAATTGTGACAGGTATACTAAAAGATAATTCTTTCTCCTTGTATTTAGAACTTGTACTTTAAATTTGAAGAGACCTGAAAAATCACCTCATACAGTTTCCCAAGTGTGTGTGGGGTGTGGGGAATAGGAAATGAGCTGCAAGATTCGTTTGAAAACAAAATAGCATTTTATCTTTTTGCTCCTGATATTAAATTTTTTTGGAACTTCAAATAGTGTTAAAGGAGCATGTGAACTCATTGTGGTTATCAAGAGAAGCTTAAATTGAGGGATGGTATTACACTTAGCTTCCTCACCTAGAGGTGAAACACAGAGCCTTCAGCTAAGGGTCTGAACAAGGGCATTTGTAATTAGAGGCAAACCAACTGGAACCTTGATTTTCTGACCACCTGGTCTTTAATTTTGAACTTTGACTTACTAAAAGCAAACTCTTCGATCTAGGGATCCAAGCCAGGGCCTTGTGCATGCTAGGCAAATGCTACATCCCACCCCTAAAAGCAAACTTGTAAAATAATATTTCCTTAATGGGTAAAACTATATGTACAAATACATTATGTATGGAAAGCAAAATTGGAAATCTAGAGTAGGTATTTAAGCATATGCATTTTTATTTGATGATTTTAAATATATTGGCATTTTTTTAAACTGGGAAATTTGAACTTCAAGGTAATATCTAAACATACCAAATTATCAAACTTCATATCACAAATTTGTACAATTGTTATGTGTCAGTTAATTAAAAAATCCCACAAAAGTTGAAATACTAAATAGTTTAAACTGAGTATTAGAATATGCTCAAATGTTGAAGTTGTATATTTAGATAAAAAATATAACCTATGCTAAATTTAAAATTTTACTCATTTAAAAAAAAGTCTTAGGGCTGACAGAGTGGCTCAAGTGGTAGTGCATCTGCCTAGCAAGTATGAGGCCCTTAGTTCAAACCTCAGTATTGTCCCCCCCAAAAAAGGATAGTTAAATAAGATATATTTAAATGAAATTCCACCTTCTCACTCTAATGCCTCTTTCAGGAGTTGGCACTTTTTATCACTTTTTAATTCTTCCAGAGATTTTTCTATTACTATATAAGCAAAAAGTGAGCGTATTTATTTTTCTTTGAAGAAAGTGGTAACACTATACAGTTTTTAGCTACCACTTTTCACTTAACTGTATCTTAATGATCCTGTCATACCAGTCAACAAAGTTATGTGTTTTTTTATGGTTGTGTAATATTTCATTGTATCATGTGCCAAATTTATATAACCTGTCCCTAGTTAGTGAATATAATTTAGCTGTCTCTTGTTTAAATGGATATTTAGTTGTTAATAATCACAAACATTGTTGCCATGAATGGCTTGTTACATGTCATTTTGTACAGATCAGAAGAATATGTCTGGAGGTTACATTCCTTGAAGTAGGTGGAAGGGTGAATATATAAATTTGAGGAATCTTGCTAACTTGTCTTTTAGAGTATTTACCAATTTATACTCCAAAAATCAATGTCTTTCTTCCCAACCCTGTATTTTTTTTTTTTATCATTGCCAGTCTGATAGGTTAAGTGTTAATGCTGCACTTTGAATTTGTAATCTTAACATATATGAGAGTGAATACCTTTTATTGCTTGTTTGTATTTATTTTCATTATATTTACCTGTTTTTCTGTTGACTTACTGATTTTATGTAAGGGAATTTGATCTTTCTGATACAGTTTTATCCTTTTCACTCAGTTTTTCATTTATCTTTGACTTCTCCCTGCCCCATGTAGAAATTTTTAATTTTTGGAGTAAATAGTTCAGTTTTTTTCATTTCTTACTTCTGAACATTGAGTCATTTTACCTCTTCATTTCATTTCTCCTCCTTCTTCTTTTTTTTTTTTTTTTTTTTTTCATCTCCCTATGTAGCCCATGCTGGCCTAGGACTCTGTGTTGTGTCACCCATGCTGGTCTCACAAACTCATGATTCTCTGCCTCAGCCTTCTGAGTGCTGGGGTTACAGGTGTGCACCATTTAGTCCTAGCACACATTTAATTTTTCACATGAAGATTCAGTGAATTTACCAAGTTCCCCTCTTGAAAATTCCTGTAGGTATTTTATTGGGATAATATTAATTTATATATTAAGGTAAGGATTATCACAATGAATTTTAGATAAATATTTCAAATTTGTCTTTAGATTACTCAGCAGTTAGAGAATATCTGCCTACGGATCATTGATCTTGTTTTACAGAAACATGTAATTGGTAAGTTCAAAGGTTGAACAAAAAGGTAAATTGAGATTTTGTCTTTAACTTTTTTTAAGTCTTTAAATTTAGCAAGATTGAAAATTTTGAGAAAGAGAAGCTTATATTCTGTTAAATTTTTGGATATATTTTCTAATGTCTATATTTTCATTCTGAGATAAACTTACAACATATCTAGTTAAGAATTTTTGGCTTTAGAAATGTTAGAGGACAGAGAATGCAATACTTTTAGAAATGGAGAACTGGGATGATGTTTAGGTGCGATTACTTTAATCTTGGAGTGAAAAATATTTAAAAATATTTCTTTACTTTTTTTTTTTTTATCGGGTGGTACAGGAGTTTGAACTCTGGGCCTTGCGTTTGCTGCTAGCCAAGCAAGCACTCTAACCACTTGAGCCCAGAACAGCCACATTTCTTAGCAGAAGTGTGACTTAACAAAAACTTTACTCAAGTTTGCAGGATAAGTTTTAGTTCTTTTTATGAGAGAAAAACAAAAGTTACAAGTTAGCTTCTTTGTTCAGTGATGTGTAGAAGTTATTTGGATTTTGGTTTGTGTTTTCTGATTGTATTTTGAGATAATCACTTTTGGCTAATGGTAATGATAATATGTATATGTGTGAATATCAGAACATTTCCTTTGGACTCTTGTACTTTATAGTGGGCAAAATTGTTTTCAGGTACATTGAAGAATACTAAAATTGTTAGTTTTTATAAATTGAAAAAAATATCACCTAATCTATAGTTGTAAAAATATAAATGTGAGATAGGCAGATATTTTAGGCCCATGTAATTAAGCTTTTCAAAGAACATTATTAACTTAAAATTTTAAATCTTCTACATGAGTTACAATAATCTATTCCTCTCATATATTTCTAATATAATTTTATGGAAAGTTTAGTAAAGGCAAACGTTTGCCTTCCCTTATTGAGAAGAGAGTGGGTCTTGGTAACAGAAGGGACATGTCCCAGCTGTTGATGCAAATGCTGAGGAAGGCTTCTGATAACCCATGTTAGGTACAGGAAGAACCTGGACAAGCCCTCCTTTGCATGGTCTTTGCTTTTAAGTTTTATAGCATTCTAACTAGAGATGTTCTTCCTTCTAGAATTCTATGAAGAGATTCTTTCCCTGGCATATAGTTTAACCTGCCACTCTATTTCCCCTCAAATGTGGCAGCTTCTAGGTATTTTATATGAAGTTTTCCAGCAGGATTGTTTTGAATACTTTACAGGTATGGCTTTAACCATGTAACAAGTTTTGCTTTTCTGTGTCTAGATATTATTTCCTGTAACACTCGAAATAAAAACAGTTAGGATTCCATTATTAATTAGAAAATGTTCTTATTTTCCTATTAAGTAAAGGTTGGAGCTATGATAGTAGTGTTTTTCAGCCCTTAGATGTATAACCAGAGGAGATAGCTGAATTTTTATTGCATATTAAGTTACTGGCAATGAGAGAATATAGCCATATGTTAATTTAGCAAATATTTTCTGAGTACCAGCTATATTCTAAGCACTATTCTAAGCTCAGCAATGCAGTGGTGAACTTCAAGTTCACCTACACAAGTTAACATTCTGGTGTGGGATGAGGGAGGGTCAAGAAGCACTCAGGAAAATAAGCAACAAAATTTATAGTATGCTGAGGGTGATGAGGGTAAAGGAGAAAATTCAGAACAATCACTAGAAATGAAGACTACTTTAATCTTTCTGATCAACATTTTCTTCACTTTTTAAACAGGGCAGATGTTATCACTTTCATTTCTAGCATTTTTGGTTGCTAGAGAAGATAGTGGTGTGGGTTCTATAGAAATGTGGTTTCAATGGGGATAATTTATTTCTACTCCTGTTGTTCAAGTCTCATTGGGATTTTGAATTTTTTCCTAGACATGATGCCTCTCCTGCATAATTATGTGACAATAGATACAAATACTTTATTGTCAAACCCAAAACATTTAGAAGTACTTTTCACAATGTGTAGAAAGGTAAGCATGTCTTAATCAGTTGTCACATTCGTTCTTATTAATACTTGAGTGTTTCAGTTGTTCCTTATATATTCAGTCTATATTACCTTTATCAGCCAATATTTGTCAATTTGCATTTTCAGAACGAAGTTGGGATTCTGTAATTTGAAAGTTTCATAATATATGTTATGTTTAAAAATGTTTAAGCCTTTAATATCTGTGTACTTTTTAATTTTCGAGGTAAATTCAGTTGTCCCTTAGTGTCCTCAGAGGTTTGGTTTCAGGATGCCATGGACCAAATCCCTGGATGCTTAAGTCCTTTGAATAAAGTGTTGTAGTATTTGCGTAGAACCTACGCACATTCTCCCACATACACTTTTAATTATGTCTACATTACTTATAATACCTAAAACAATGTCCATGTTATGTAAGTAGTTGTTAAGCTGTACTGTTTAGGGGAAAACCAGCAGAAAAAAGAGTGTACATGTTTAGTTCAGATCCAATTTTTTTTCAAATATTTTTATCTGTGGTTGGTTGAATCCAGGGATGGGGAAAAAGTAGATATGGAGGTCCAACTGTACGTTCTGTGTTTTTCTTTCAAAAATATAATTTTGTTACTTGATTGAAGAAAAGTGCTAGGAAAATGAACCACACAGTTTGTCAATTCTGTGACAGAATGATCTTTATTCTTTTAATTGAATGTATATATTAGAAGCCACTAGATGTAGGTAACTTGAACATAAAACAATTTATACTAGTTGGAAAAAAAAGCATCATTTAGCTCAGTACAAGATAATTTATAAGACTCATAATGGCTTTTGTATATTTATTTACAAACATGATTGACACGTTATTGTTGCCATGGTTAGAAGGTGGACAAGAATTCAAAAGAAGCAGAAAAGTAGTTTGGTTGACTAAAAAGTTTGTTTTGTTTTCTTTCATTTTATTATTTTGTTTTGCTACTTTTAAAGGGAAGCTTCATTTATCTGAACAATTTTCTCATATAGCCTGCTTTGTTAATTCAAAGTCAAGTAAGTGAATTGTTATACCTTACAAGGAATGTAAGTAGTACTAGAGAAGATATAGGGACTTTATTTTGACATTCCGTCTTTAGGTTGACAAGGTAAACTTGCAAAGCAGTGATTCCTGTAAGTGAATTTATATGTGATATTTGCTTTAAGCGGCCTTATTAAGTTCCATGCAGTGACACTCATTGCTGAGTTACATTGTGATTACTGTAGGTACTCTGTGGAGATGCAGGAGAAGATGCCGAATGTCATGCAGCCAAACTTCTAGAAGTCATCATTCTTCAGTGTAAAGGGAGGGGAATTGACCAGGTAATACATGTCAGGAAAGTATCTTATTTGACTTTTACATTTCAAATTTGCATGCTCTATTGGCATTTTGTTTATGTTTTGATGGTAGCTATAAAGATAGTCCACAGTTTGTTCTTGCTGGTGCAAATCCTATTTAGATGACAAATAAAAGCCATTTAATTTGGAAATTGTAGCTCACATTCTAGCTGAGAAAGGGATGTGCAGAAAAATACATAATTTAAGGAGCTATTCATAAAATAATAAAAGGAATAAATATGTAAATTGCATGTTCTTTGTTTTTTTTTAAACCTTTAAGTGGTGCTGAGGATCACCTCCAGGGCCTCCACATCCATGTGCTCTCCCTCTGTGTTGTGTCCCAAATATCTTTTCTAAACAGAAATTAAGATACTGTGAAAAAAAATGAAAAAGTTTCTCTTGACCAAGCTAAAAAGTATAGAACTGTATTTTATACTTTATAAGATATAAATTTGTAAATTTTCAACATTAATTTTTAGTACTATTGTATGATCAATTACTAAGAAAAAATGTTAAAGCATTTGAATAAAAGTGTAAATTTTTCTTTTTTAGTTCTGTAATTTTTGCTCCTTGTAATTTTTTTTTTCTCTTTTTTAGTTGTACTCGAGTTAGAACTCAGGGCCTCATGCCTGCTAAGCAGATACCCCTACTGCTTGAGCTGTTCAGCCAGCCCTTTTATTTTGTGATTTTTTTTTTTTTTTTCTTCAAGATAAAGGCTCTCGAACTATTTGTCCAGGGCTGACTTCAAAACACGATCCTCCTGATCTCTGCCTCCTGAGTAGCTAGGATACATAGCTGCTTCTTATATTTTTATAGTTATATTGAGATACAATTCACATACCATATAATGCATTCACTTATAGTGTACACTTCAGGTTGGGGGTGTGGATCAGTTGGTAGAGCACTTGCCTAGCAAGTATGAGGCTCTGAGTTCAAACCTCAGTACTGCCAAAATAAATTAATGAATAGATAGATAAATAAATTGTATACTTCAGTGATTTTCATTGTATTCACAGAATTGTGCAACTTGTACCACAATTTTAGAACATTTCACTACCCCTCTCCCCAGGTTAGCTTTTTGCTGCTATGACAAAATATCCGAGAAAAACAACATAAAGGAGGAATGATTTACTTTGGATCACAGTTTTAGGGTATTCAGTCCATAGTTAGCTGGCTTTGTTGCTTTTAGGCCTGTGGTAAGACAGAATCATGGTGGAAGGGCATCACAGAAGAAAGCTCCTTACCTCATGGCAACCAGGAAGCAGAGAGGTAGAACAAGGGAGTGGGGACAAGATAAAGCCTTCAAGAGCATGCTCTCAGTGACCAACTTCCTCCAACTAGGCCCCCCCTCCAGTTAGTCCATTCAGCTGTGGCTCTTCAGTGTATTAATCCACAGATGAGGTTAGTGCCTCAAGGTATTAGGGACCAAACTTTCAATACATAAGTATCAGGGGACATTTCATATCCAAGCCATTATTCCCCTTGTGCCCCCTTCCCCAAATAAACCCCTCTGTACCCATTAGCAGTCACTCCTTATTTCTTTCAATACTCTCCCTATGTCCCCAACTCCAGGAAACTACTAAATGTGCTTTCAGTATTTATAGAATTGCCTGGACATGTTTTGGGATGTTTCATATAAATAGAATTATGTATGGTTCTTTGTTATAGGCGTCTTTTACTTAGAAAAACGTTTGTAAGGTTCATCCATGTGGTAGTGTGTATCATTATTTTACTCATTATATGAATCTGTCCATCAGTTGTTGGTCATTTTGGTTATTTCCATATTTTGGTTATTATGCGTATGCTGTTATAAATGTCTGTATGGAATGTTTTTGTGTGGATATATTTAGTTTCATTTCCTAGGAGTGGTATTCTAAGTTTAATCATGGAAGGAACTGGCAACCTGTTGCCAAAGCAGCTGTACCACTTTCTAGTTCTGACAGTGAATGAGGGTTCCTGTTTCTCCATGTCCTTGCCAATACTCTAGTTGTCTTTTTGTTACAGTCATCCTAATAGGTGTGAAGTTATATCTGATTGTGATTTTTATCTGTCTTTGTCTGATAACTAAGGATATTGAGTGTCCTTTCATGTGTTGATTGGCCTTTTGTATATCTGGTTTTTGGACAAAGTATATCTGGTTTTTGGACAAATGTCTAATCAGATTCTAGGCTCATTTTTAATTGTGTTGTTGTCTCTTTTCCCTCCCTTTATTGTTATGCTGGGTGGGTGTACATTGTGACATTTACATTTACAAAGGTTCTTACAATGTATCAAATATGTTATATTTGAATTCACCCCCTCCATTGTTCTCCTTCACCCTGTCCCCCCACCAATCCGCAGAACCTGTTTTGCCTTCCTGTTCTCTGATTTTGTTGTTTGTCCCTTTCTAATTGAGTTGTTGGCGTTGTCTTGTCTAGATTCAAGTCCCTTACCAGGTATATGATTTGTCACTTCACTTTTTTCTTTTTCTTTTTTTGAGACAAGGGCTGTTTAACCTTGGCTGGACCTGAATTTATAATCCTTTTGCCTAAGCCCCCTGAATGCTGGGATTACACACGTGTTCCATCATACTGCTTTTTATTTATTTTTTTTAAAGTGATACTGGAATTTGAACTCAGGGCCTTACCCTTGCTAGTCAGGTGTTCTACCACTGGAATCACACCTCCCTAGCCCTGTATTTTTTGAATAGGGTCTCTGTTTTATGTCCTGGCTAGCCTGGACTATGATCCTTCTATATATCCTTCCCTCATAGCTGAGATGACAGGCATGTACCACCATGCCCAAGTTTTATTAGTTAAGTTGGGGTCTTGTGAACTTTTTGCCCAGTCTAGCCTGAACCATAATCTTCACCATCTCTATGAGTACCTAAGATTATAAGCATAAGCCATCACACTTGACTTGAGGTCTGGTATTTTTAAAGAGAATTTTTGTGTCTATATTTATAAAGAGCTATTTGTTTCTAACTCTGTTCTTGCAATATCATTGACTGGCTTGGTTGGCTTTGGCTGTCTTTGCTGGCCTCATGGAATGATTTGTGAAGTGTTCTGCCCTCTTCTTTTGAAGAGTTTGTGAGTACTTGATGTCCTTCTTTATATGTTTGGTAGGCTTTAGCAGTGATGCCATGTGGACCTGGTCTTTATGTGTGGTTTTTAAATTATTAATACATTCTCTTTATTTGTGTAGTCATTGGTGATGTGCTTCAGTATATTCCTTCAGTCTACTTTCTAATGTTAAGTCTTGTGTTTTCTTGCTGATTGACCTGTTTTTGCATTATTGGAAGTGAGGCATTGAAGGCCCAAGTTGGTGTTGTTGAATTACCTACTTCTCTGTTGCTTTCTGTTTACTTTTGCTTCTTGTATTTTGGGGATTTGCTGTTAGATTCATTATTTATTTATAATGGTTATATTTTTCTGATGTTTCTGGTGGATTGACCCTTCAGCAATCAAAAGTTCTTTGTAGTAACTTTTTGTTTTGTTTTGTTTTAATGTGTATTTTGTTTGATATTAGTATATACTTTGTTATGGTTGTTTGCATGATACTTCTTTTTCTATGTTTTGCTTTCAACCTATTTCTGTCTTGGACTATAAACTGTGTTTTCTGTACACAGTGTGTATTTGCGTCTTGTTTTTTATCCAGTCTGACATTATTTGTTGATTAATAATGTTACTCATGGAGTTAGTCTGCACTTTTATTTTTATGTTTCATGTGTTTTTATTCCCACTATTCCTTTTTTTCTTTATATTGAATCAAATATTTTGTAATGCCACATTTTAATTCCTTTAATGATTTATTTCACAGCTTTTTTGTTTTCTTAGTGATTGCTTTTTAATTTTTCACTTAAAAAGTTTTTTGGTGGCTTAATATTCGTAATTTACCTTATTGGTCTCTACTGCAGAATAATATTAACTTAATTTCAGTGAGATGCAGAAATATTACTTCTACATAACTCTTGTCCCTTTTTCCTCTTTTTGCATTATTATAGATACTACATTTATACATGTTACAACCCCACCAATACATTGTTTATAATTGTTAATTTTTGGACTTTTATGTTTATTTAAAAAGTTGAAAAGAGAAAGACAACCAAGTATATATTTATAGCTTTTTATATTATCCTTCTGTTTACCAGTTTTGGTTCTTTTTTGCTTGTTCCTGTGGATTCAGTTATCATCTGGCATCATTTCCTTGTTCCTATACAACCTTGCTCACACTTCTTTGGTATTAATGTTGAGTGTATTACATTTCTACATGCTGTAGGCCCAGAATACAATTATGACATTTTATATAGTTGCTTTTAAAAGCAGTTAAGAAAGTCAAAAAATACTTTGTGCATTATTTTTGTAATTATTTAGTTGTATTTACTGGTTCTTGTGTGTGTGTGTGTGTGTGTGTGTGTGAGTCTGTCTTTGAATTACCTCTTAAGTCATTTGCTTTCAGCCTGAAAAACTTTTTTTTTTCTTTTATTATTCATATGTGCATACAAGGCTTGGGTCATTTCTCCCCCCTGCCCCCACCCCCTCCCTTACCACCCACTCCGCCCCCACCCTCTCCCCCCACCCCCTCAATACCCAGCAGAAACTATTTTGCCCTTATTTCTAATTTTGTTGTAGAGAGAGTATAAGCAATAATAGGAAGGAACAAGGGTTTTTGCTGGTTGAGGTAAGGATAGCTATACAGTGAGTTGACTCACATTAATTTCCTGTGCGTGCACCCATGTTTATTGCGGCACTATTCACAATAACCAAGTTATGGAAACAGCCAAGATGCCCCACATTGATGAATGGATTAAGAAAATGTGGTATCTATACACAATGGAATTTTATGCAGCCATGAAGAAGAACGAAATGTTATCATTCGCTGGTAAATGGATGGAATTGGAGAACATCATTCTGAGTGAGGTTGGCCTGGCCCAAAAGACCAAAAATCGTATGTTCTCCCTCATATGTGGACATTAGACCAAGGGCAAGCACAACAAGGGGATTGGACTTTGATCACAAGATAAAAGCAAGTGCACACAAGGGAGATTTGAGGATAGGTAAGACACCTAAAAAATTAGCTAGCATTTATTGCCCTCAACTCAGAGAAACTAAAGCAGATACCTTAAAAGCAACTGAGGCCAATAGGAGAAGGGGACCAGGAACTAGAGAAAAGGTGAGATCAAAAAGAATTAACCTTGAAGGTAACACCCACGCACAGGAAATCAATGTGAGTCAATGCCCTGTATAGCTATCCTTATCTCAACTAGCAAAAACCCTTGTTCCTTCCTATTATTGCTTATACTCTCTCTACAACAAAATTAGAAATAAGGGCAAAATAGTTTCTGCTGGGTATTGAGGGGTGGGGGGAGAGGGAGGGGGCGGAGTGTGTGGTAAGGGAGGGGGTGGGGGCAGGGGGGAGAAATGACCCAAGCCTTGTATGCACATATGAATAATAAAAGAAAAAAAAATTTCCTGTGCATGTGTGTTACCTTCTAGTTAATTCTTTTTGATCTCACCTTTTCTCTAGTTCCTGGTCCCCTTTTCCTATTGGCCTCAGTTGCTTTTAAGGTATCTGCTTTAGTTTCTCTGCGTTAAGGGCAACAAATGCTAGCTAATTTTTTAGGTGTCTTACCTATCCTCACCCCTCCCTTGTGTGCTCTCGCTTTTATCATGTGCTCAAAGTCCAATCCCATTGTTGTGTTTGCCCTTGATCTAATGTCCACATGTGAGGGAGAACATACAATTTTTGGTCTTTTGGGCCACAGCCTGAAAAACTTTGTTTAGTATCTCTTATAAGACAGATCTTGTAGTAATGATTTCTCTCAGTTTTTGTTTTCTCTTTGTTTTGCCTTCATATTTGAAAGGTAGTGTTGATCAATTTTTGGTTGATAATTTTTTTCAGTACTTTGCGTATGCCATCCCACTTCCTTCCATCTTGTGTTGTTTCTGATAAAAAATAATGACTAAAGCTGTTAATCTTGTTGGGGTTCCTTTGTTCATTATGATGATATAGTTTCTGTTTTGCTGCCATTGTCAAGATTTTCTGGTTTTCAGTATTTTTACAATGCTGTGCATGTGTGTGGCTCGCTGCGTTTATCCTTGTTGGAATTTGTGAACCTCTCGGGTGTGTAGATTATTTTTTAATGAAAATTTGGGAATTTTTGACTGTTTTTTATCCTACTCTTTTCTCTCCTCTTGCTGTTAAACATATGCTGGTGCTCCATATTTCCTTGAGGCTCTGGCTGGTTTCTCCCCCACCCTCTCTGATCTTCACATTGCATAATCTTTGTTGTTTTATCTTTAAGTGTACTCATTCTCCCTTTGCCATTTCAGATCTACAGTTGAGCTCTGCTAATAAAGTTTTACTTTTTTCTCATAGTATTTAAATTCAGAATTTTCATTTGTTTTTTGTATTTCTTCATTGATATCTTTTATTTGAGATTTTGTAATCATGGCTTCCTTTACTTTAAGAATTATTTCCTTTCCCCTCCCTCCCTCCCCCCTTCTCTCCCTGTCTCCTTTCCTTCCTCTTCCTTTATTTTTTATTTTCCTTGTTGCAGTGCTAGGGATTGAACCCAGGGCCTTATGCATAGGCAAGCACTCTACCACTGAGCTACACTCCAGCTCTGCTTTATTTTTTAAACATTTATTATGACTGAGTTTTAGATTTCATAGTACAGTCTTTGAGGTTTGTCCTGACTCCAGAAAAATTCTTGACTGTCTCTTTCCTTGGCTTTCTCTGGTGAACTGTTGGCCTATTTTGTTTCTCTTAATAGAAGAGCTACCAGCCTCTTCTAATTTGCTTTTCACCAAAATCTTCAGTATTTTCTTGAATGACTCTTCCCCTACAAACTTTGCTGAGATGTAAATGACAAATGAAAATTTGTCATTACCTTTTTGTAATTTATAAAGTTTCACAAATATTGTCAAAGCAACAGCTACAAAAAATGAGAATGAGCATATGCAATAGAGATTATAGATGGCTTGCAAATTAAAAAAAATATTTACTGTCTGGCCACTTACAGAGAACGTTTGCTAACCCTTGTTATTAGCAACTGAATAGAGAACCCACAGAGCAGAGAACAAATCAAAGGTTAGGATTTAGGATGTTAGGAGTCTGCTAGTAATGTCCTTAATCTAGAGAGGTCTTCTGCAGGCTCAAGGATATGAAGATGAGTGAGTAGGCTATTGCTAGTTGAGGTATGAGAATATCAGTTTTGCTCTAGGCAAGCAGCATTGAGAAAGGAAGGGCAGAACAAGATTCACAACTGGATACTTTGCATAGGAAACATGAGAAAAAGCCAGGTGTTAGATGACGAGGTCAGGGAATAAACCAATAGCACAGATTTGCCCTGGAAAGTGTGAGGATGACTTTTTTCTCCAGGTCAGGAAAATAGTGGCACCAGTAGGTGGTGTAGAGTGATAATACATTATGGCCACCTAATGGTGTTAATAGATGTTCATGAAACAAAAAATATTCCATGATCAAATCTGGGGGAAACTGGCTGAAACAAAATTGAACACATTTCATTATTGTGTGATCTAGTGCCTTTATCTGAAAATGTGTCTAAAAGAGAGTGTTAGTAATTTCAAATTAACTTGTCTGTGGAATCTTTGTTGTTTTTTAAAGCCTAGGACTTTTTATTAATTATCATCAAAGTAGTGTTTGGGTAGCACTGATGTAGAGACATGTCTTGAAGTAGAGTGGATGTGGAAGCTTAAGTTAAATATGAAAATAACTTCTATCTAGATGTAAAGTTAGCAAATAAGAACAGGTGATGTAAATACAGAGGGTTTCTATTCCTAAAAGTGGGTTGCAGAGGGCCTGGGAAGTTGTTATTTAAGCATTTGTATCAGAAAGTTGAGGACTCTAGGAGTGTCTAATATCAGTGAGGCACTGTTACAGCACACTCAGGTACAGCTGAAGAGCCACTCTGCTTCGGCGTTCTGTTCCTCTGAATTTCTTGTCTACTGATAGTTACTCTTGGAGGCTGGGCCAAATTCAGGTTTGACTTTTTTTGCAAGAGTACTTCTTAGGAGGAACATCATCTTACAATGTTTGTGCTGTTGGTGATGATACTCTAATTCAGCCATTCCTGTTTCATTGATTCTGAAATATTTCCATAAAGAGAAGCATTTTCTCATAAATTAATCAGATTAGGATTATTAATCCTAATTAATTATTAATGGAGATATTCTGTATTCTTTTTGCAGCTGCATAGTGCTGTACTTGTGAGTTTATGTAGTTGGTCCAGCCAGTCTCCATAACCTGTTTTGTTCTAATATATTGTAAAGGGATAATTTTAGTGTTAATAGTTCTAAAACTTGAAGGCTCCATTGTATTCTTGGTGGCTTTACATGGAATAGGAAATATTTGTTAAAATGAGACTTTAGTTTTAAAACATGTCAAAAAGTTTGTATTTCTTTGACTTCATTGATCCTCAGATAATTATTTGACAAAGATAATTTTTTTAATGTAGTCTATCATACATGTGTTATGTTATAAATCAGAACCAAAAATATTGTGTATCTAAATAAGAAATAAATATAAGTTAGAATTGGAGTCAGAATGATTTTAGTGTGTAAGATCCACAGGGTTTTTTTTTTTCTCTAGTCTTTTTCATCTTTCACATATACCAGTGGGGTTTTTTCAAGAGATATACTGATTATATCATACTTATTCTCAGTTTTATTCATTTATTTCCAATTTGATCTGGCAAAATAAAATCCCACCCTTGTCATTTTACCTTAAACATGGGAGTAGCTGTGTGGTTATTGCCACCATTTGTGTATGGACTCTTTTTTGGTGGGACTCGGCTTTGTGCTTGCAAAGCAGGTGCTTTACCACTTGAGCCTCACCTACAGTCCATTTTGCTCTGGTTATTTTGGAGATAGAGTCTTATGAACTATTTGCCTGGACTGGCCTTGAACCATGATTCTCCTGATCTCAGCCTCCCAAGTAGTTAGGATTATAGGGATGACCCACTGGCATCCCGTTTGTGTGTGAACTCTTATAGGACAATCTTTTGTGAATTCCAACGTGCCCTTAAGAAGGAAGATTTCCTGGCACTGTTGTGGGACTTCTTGTCTATTTAATCTCTTTGGGTTTTTGTAAGAATATAAATCTTTGAAGTAACTCTAAATACAGTTTAAATAAGCAAAGATTTTTTTGTCATTAAGACTTACTTATTGATGACAGTCTCACCAGCATTCTGCTTTCTGTAAGTTACTTGGTTGCTCTGTATATAGTTGACTCTCATTTTCTTTTTGTTCTCTAGTGCATTCCACTCTTTGTTCAACTTGTTTTGGAGAGATTAACTCGAGGGGTCAAAACTAGTGAGCTCCGAACTATGTGTCTTCAGGTTGCAATTGCTGCCTTGTACTACAACCCTGAGTTGCTGCTACATACTTTAGAACAAATTCAGTTGCCTCACAACCCTGGACCTATCACTGTACAGTTTGTAAATCAGTGGATGAATGATACCGATTATTTTCTTGGGTATGTGCCTTTTGGATTTTACACTGTTTTTCTATTTCTGGGAAGTTTGCTTTTTAACATATTACATATATCATGTACAAAAAGTAATTTTCAAATCTTAGGAACTATTTTTAGTGTACTGTTAGCATAATACTTAGTTTTTAGAGAAATAAGAATGTGTTTCAGTATAATCTGGTAGGAAGAACACAGACTCTGAAAATTAGGTATTGTCCTTCTCTTGTTTTTGACTTCTGTGTATCATCATCTCTCTAGGCAATAAGAATTATATGTCCATCTGGGTTCCATCACTATTAAGTGTCTGTGAATAAAAACTTCTAAATGGAGTCAGGTTCCTAAGGAATGTACAGTCTGGCAAAGATATAACATACTGTCCCAGGATATTCAGCTCTGTGCAGGTCTCAAGGGAGCTTGTTCTCAAGTGTGGGATCAGAAGAGTTACTAGTTGTAGTTCAGGTGCTTCCCAGTAGGAGCTGACTTCATGTGAAATACTTTCCTAGTTTTCTCCCGCCCTCCCCCCCCACCCCGCCCTGCCCAAGAATTGAACCTCATGTATATAAGGTGAGCACTTTTCCACTGAGCCACATCTCTACCCTCTGCTAGTTTTCAAATGTGGGAAAAATGAGCTCCTAAGTAGTGGCTACGTGCCCATCACAAGTCACTCAGTAGACATTAGTGGACATGTTAACATGTTATACATGAGTTAGATTGCTGTGTAGTATGCTTTAAAACATGGGAATAACCAATGCTCTTTTTAAGTTTTATGAGAATATCACTTAGGAAAATTGCTGAGAGGAGTAGACCCTTTAGCAGAGTAGTTAAGACACTGCCATGTGGGTGAGCAAAGGTGGAGGCCTGGATCACAATGGTAGAATAGGAGTGTGTGATTATATTTACAAAATGCTATGTGCATTCTAATTTTTCTACTTGTAGGAGACTGGAATTTGTTCCTGAAATTTGTTGTTAAATCTTGAAGGGAAGAACATACTCCAAAAGGAATTATGCTAAAAGTTATCTGTGCCATAGATTTACAGAGTAAATCATTGATGCAATTATACAGTTTTCATTCTTCTGTCTTTGTCAGCATCTAGAAGCAAAATTTTAGAGCTAGAAAAGGCTGTCTGTCAGCATTAACATAGACTGGGGGCATCCTTGGATTGGGCTGCCTTGGATTCTTTAGAGGCCTACTTTGGTAATCATCTTTCCTTGCTGTGATCCTCTTGACATTTGGTGTGTACTGGTTAGGGACTATGTGAATGAGGAAGCCCTCAGGTTAAATATGGTTCCTGTTATATCACATCTTTGGGTATTAATAACTTAAATGAAGTAAGCAAAGCAAATAATGAAGAATAACAAAATTGAAATATATTAATCCATTTCTTTAATCTCATTTTAAATGAATCACTACAAATGAGTTGGGTTTTTTTTGTTTTGTGTTTTTGGTTTATGTTTGCAGTTTTAAGAATTGCATAACGTCTTTTAATTCTCAGTATTTTTAAACAACTTAAAGGAAACATTTTGTAGAAGTAGATGCCTAATATAAGTTGGTTGAGCATATTCTCTTCAAAGTTAAATTTTCCTTATCCTGTGTCATGGCAGAGGATGCTAATAGATTTACTGATAGCCATTAAATTCAGTTTACAAAACACTGAGTTTTTGAAACTGCTTTTGGTACCAGGTGTTCATGTGGAGTACATGTGCCAAGGTACCTTGTGTGGTGGAAAAATCTGGGAACACTTCGTTTCTCCCATTGTGTAGGAATTTTATACTGTCAAATACAGATATTTTTGCTTAAAAGATACTCACTATGCCAACACTCAGATGTAGCATTTACATTAATCATAAGTTTACAGCAAGATTCATCATGTTACTTAAAGACTAGGTCTTTTTGATGATAATTATTGGCTTACAAAATTTGATTTACATAGGACTTTGTATAGAACAAATGGGGGATATTTCTGTATAATTCCAGTGAATGAACACCTTGGGCATTTCTTTTTGTAATTTCTCTGGATTTTATCCTTTATTGTATTTCTCATGTCTACATTTTTTTTCTTTCAAAATTTTTAGGCATCATGACCGGAAGATGTGTATAATAGGATTAAGTATCCTTTTGGAATTGCAAAATCGACCTCCTGCAGTGGATGCTGTTGTGGGACAGATTGTTCCTTCAATTCTTTTCCTTTTCCTTGGCCTAAAACAGGTCTGTGCTGCTAGACAACTGGTAAACCATGAAGATTGTTCAAAAGTAGAGAAAGCTGACATGGAAGAAAATGGTAAAGTCTTCTAATTGTGATGAATGTTACAATTGATTTTAATTTTTTTTCATAGTCCTTTGAGACAGAGTCTTGTTGTGTTGTTCAGTCTGGCCTTAAACTTACTATGGGGTCCAGGCTGTCCTGAAACTTGAGCCATTCTACCAGTCTTGTTTTGTGTTGGGTATTTTTAAAGGTAATAGGGTCTTACAAACTATTTGCCTGGATTGGCTTTGAACTGCGATCCTCCTATCTCTGCTACCTGAGTGGCTAGGATTATGGGCATGAGACACCCAGTTATATAGTTTATCTTTTATAATTTTATCTAAAATTATGCATTAGTTTTTCCATTTCCATAATATTTTATAATCCTTGTTTTTTCATGGAATTTTATATTTTGTACTTACTTGTTTTGATTTCTTTTAAATAATTGGGGGATTCACAGAAGAGATTTCAAGTGATGAGGAGGAAACAAATGTAACCACTCAAGCAATGCAGTCAAATAATGGGAGAGGTGAAGATGAGGAGGAAGATGATGATGACTGGGAGGAAGAAATACTGGAAGAAACTGCACTTGAGGGGTTCAGCACTCCACTTGACCTTGACAGTAGTGTGGATGAATATCAGTTTTTTACACAAGCTCTGCTAAGTATGTCTTTATTCTTTGAATCTTCTGATTTTTTTTTAAACTTTCTTCATTTCTTCCTGTTAGGAGTTGTTTTGGGATCTATCCCCAAATTGGTGTAGGCTCTGTTTAAAAAAATTTTTATTTTTTATTATAGGAATACCAAAACATATGTAAATGAAAGAGATTAGTATAATGAAACACTCATCACTCATTCACCACCTTTCATCATTGTGAAGTCTATAAACAGTTTATAGGTTATCCTCATTAAAGTAATTTCAGGCAAGAGTATCTTCATATATTGCTCATCTTGTACGCATCCATGGGCATTTATTTGCTAAGTAGTAGTAAAGTTTTATTGAGAGAGAGAGAGAGAAAGAGAGAGTGCAAAAGCAATAAAGTACACTCTACAAGAAGTTGGGGGGGTCGGTGCAGGCTCTGAACTAGGTGGCATAAGAGCAGTACCAAAGCTAAAGAACTGGGCAAGTAGTTTTTACAGAAAGTGAAATATTTCAGGCATGAATTGCTAAAACATTGTGGCCATAAACCCAGTAATTTGTAATCCTTATGGGAAGGAACAGAGTTCAGTTACCTTAAAAGACTGATACTGTAACTACTTAATCAATTTACCAATTTTCTACAGCAAATGATAGTTAAAGGACTCATTAAAGATTGTATTATAGGCTTGAGAGGCACAGTGTCCAAAGGTCTTTTACAAATGAGTAAGAGCAATAAACTGGTATAAAAATGAGAGATATAAATTGAATCTTTCATAAACCAATGAAATATTTAGAGATTTGTTAAGTAAGTTTTTTTTTTTTGTCAAATAAGTTTTAATGGAAAAAATTCACTTATGTTTATTGTTTGTTTTATGGCTAGATAGTATTTTGTGGTTTTGCCATAATTTATTTCTACTATTGGACATTTAAGAATATTTCCAAATTTTTGTTATAAACAATATTAAAGTGAACATCCTTGTACATAAAGTATATTTACAAACAAGGTAATGCCAGTATAATATGTTGGTATTATTTAGCATTGCTACAAATGCGATCAATGAAGATAAAACCATCTACCATGTTTTTATTGAAATTTAGCAGCAATTAGAGACCAAGAGTACAGGGAATGATACTTCAAAGCATAGGAAAAATAAAACCCTAAATATGGAGATGGAAACATGAAGGTATGCTCATACTCCAGATATGGTGTGCATCCTAATCACCAGGAGCTATTAGGTGTTTCATGTCAACTCAGAATCCATACAGTATTTTATAAGTTCTCCCCAAGGGACAGTTGGGCAGCCAGCTTTGGATCAGCATGTAAGGAAGGGGCGAAGGAAGCCTCTGAAGCCTCTGTGAAGGAAGGAACTAGGACTGGACTGTAGCAGTCTTGAATTCTGGACCCCAGTGAAGTGTTGCTGAGTGATTTTTCTGGGGTGGAATTACGTTGGCATTGGCAGTTTACTGCAGGAGATTTGTCAGGTGGTGGTGTGCAAAAAAAGCTGAGGAGTCTAGATGTGGGAACAAGGCATTATGAGATTATGAATATAGGAGTCTCAGTCCTGGAGTAGAGCTTGGAATTTGGTGGAAAGAAGTATATAGGTAGAGGACATTAAGACAGAGGCAGAGGGTTGGATGTGAGGAGGGCATGCATAGGTGTCAAAGGGTTTTGTTTGGTTGCCTGGGAGTCTAATACAGAATTAGTGATGGAAATGGGGAGATACAGAGGACTTGGGAGGAAAATGTTAGATTTGGCTTTACTTGTGCTGAGTTTGAGGTGAAAATTTAGTTGGAAAAGTTCAGGAGGCAAAGGGAAGAATCGTACAAAAGGGTCAGATTTGGGTCCTTGGTGTAGGAGCAGTGCTGATGCTGCAGGGAGTATGAAAATTTCAGAGTTAAATGGTAACAGCTGAGTACAGGTGTTTCCAAGATCTGGTTTTTAGGGAACGTTCATAGTAGAACTCCAGGAAAAAAAAGATAGTAAGGGAGATAGAACTAGGCAAACTAGAGATTTGCAATGTCTAAACCTTCCTTCGATGTTCCACATAATTGGGTATAAGTGGGTTCTCCGAGATAAGCCGTTCTTAGGATAAGTTTCATCACCCTGTCTCTTACTGTCTGTGATAATTTCATGGTAATTTGCTCCTGCCTCTAGTGTTTGTCCTGAGATAATAACTGTCACTGGACTGTCTTATGTTTTTCTTTTCCTGCACACCCCTGAAATACAACAGCTGTGCAGAATCGGGATGCTGCCTGGTACCAGCTGCTGATGGCCCCTCTTAGTGAGGATCAGAAGAGAACCCTGCAGGAGGTGTACACATTGGCAGAGCACCGGAGGACAGTGGCAGGTCAGCCAGTCACCTCGACAGCTGAGAGCATTTCAGAGTGCTGATAGTCAACCTTATTCCATGAGCTAGGTGGCACTGAGACCCACCCTTCATGATAATGAGGAGTTGTTATTATTGTGTGGTTGTTCTGTTGCTGCTGTTTTGTTTTTGTTTTTGAGATGGTCTCACCATGTGTCCTGGCTGGCCTCAAACTGTCATTCCTTCTACCTGTACCACATGAGTGCTGGGATTATAGGTGTGCCCCACCACTCCTGGCCTGTATAGTGGTGATTTTTTGTTTTGTTTGTGATACTGGGGATTGAATACAGGACCTTGTTCATGCTAAGCAAGCACTTCACTACTGAGTTTTAGCCTCGGCCTTTTGTTTTTGTTTTAAATGTCAAGACAGGGTTTTGCTAAATTGCTCAGGCTGGCCTTGAACTTGCATCCTCTTGTCTCAGCCTCTTGAGTAGCTGCGATTACCAGCATGTGCCATCATGTCTGGCTTGGTTGTTCTTTTTAATTACTCATAACTTACCTCTGCAAAAACCTGTCAATTAATACGTGTTTATTAGTGACTTTTCCACTCACATCCTTATCCTAATTTGGAGCTAAAGGTAAGAAGTAGGGGTTGAGATGAGTCTTGCTGAGGGACACTTAATCAGCTGGATACACACCGAAACATGTCAGCATTCTCATGGGCCAGAAGCCCTTTGTGAACTCTCACAAGGGACTCGCATTACTTGAGATGGAATGCTTTGTTATTGAGCTGAGAAAATCAATTTATAGGGAGGGAAATTTTATGTGGGCTTATGGTTTCTGTGCATGGTTGCTTGGCTGTGTTGGGCCTGTGGTGAAGCCATAGCAAAGTGTGTGGTGGAGGAAACCTGCTCACTTCAAGGCAACTGGAAAACAAAGTGCTGGTGGCAGGGCAGGAGGAGGGGGACATAGTTCCAATTTCCTCTTCAAAGACATGCTCTCAATGAACTAACTTCCTCTAACTAGTCTCCTCTTCTTAAAGATTACACTACTTCCCCGTAGTGCCACAGGCTGGCAACCAGGCCTTTAGCATTTGGGTCTTTAGGGGACATTTAAGATCCAAACCATAACAAATGTTCTTCATTTATATTTGTTGGACTTTATGTCTTGGTTCCTCTTGTTGATTTTTAGTTTTTAAACTGAGAAATTATGTTATATTGAAATTATTATGGCCACTCAGATTATCAATGGAGAAGATTTTGTGATTGCAAAAATATTTTAGTAGGAAATGTGGTCTAGGCATTTAGAGTTTGAATTCTGGTTCTTCTGTGTAGATATAGATGGTCAGATTCTATATCAGCTTTTCTGCTACAAGAAGTCTGGGTGCCCTTTCAGCAGTAGAGAATGTGAAGCTACTGAAACCCAGATTTAAGACTTGTTTTCATTTCACTGATTTTTAGCAAACAGTTTTTGCTGAGAGTAAATAATTACTTATTAACATGGGTCTGTTAAAGGCTGACATTCAATTTGGCAGAGTAACTAGTACCATGAGTCACAGTTTTAAGTATATAAGGAATCTAGCTCTGTTAAGGTTATTTCTAACTTTGTTACCTTAAGTACTCTTCTCCCCCCTCCCCCTCCCCCCATTTCTTTTAAAATACTAGAGGCAAAGAAGAAGATTGAACAACAGGGAGGCATTACGTTTGAAAACAAAGGAGTTCTCTCTGCATTTAACTTTGGGACTGTGCCCAGCAACAACTGAAGGAAGGAACAGCAGCTGAGTAAATGTAATCACTGCATTTTATCTCATGAGGGACATGTGAGGGTCAAGGGGTGGACAAGGGAGCTGCTTTTTCAGGGTGGTCCTTCTGTTACCATCTGGCACAAGGCAGCACTTTTCCTGCTCTCCCTTCCTCTTCGACCTTTATTACCTTGATAAAGACTTTTCAACAGCTACTGTAATGTATGAGATTAAAGGAAAACAGAATCATTGCATTTAAAAGGACAAACCATCTACTTCAAAGGCTGACAGCCCAAGGTGGTTTTCAGAGGATTGGATCAAGCAACTCGCACGTCTCAGGTTTTTGCCATGCAGAAATCTATGGATTATGTGGATAACAGTGCCTTTTGTTGTACATGAATTATCAGAAAAAATTTTTTGGAGTGCATTGCAATTTTTTTTTTAAAGCATAAAACATATTTCTAGATATACTGTAAACTTGGTTGTGTGTTGACTTGTTCTGCATTTTCTCTGTGAATTTACTGTAACTTTTCTACAAGTCACTCTGGTTTCAGAAACATCATTGCTCCCTTTGACCACCTTGCCACTGGGGGCTTTCTTCAGGGGTTGTAAAATATGCACTGGCTCTGGTTTTTCATAAGACATTTTGTGGCTTTCCCTCTTCTATCATATTTTTCTGCCTTGAAAGGGGTGGTATTTCTTTTAAGATCAACAAGTGTGCATTTCCATTGCATTCATAACCTGGCAGGTTAAAGACCTAACAGTGTTTTGGGTTAGAGTGACTGCTCTGAGAAAGTAGGTAAGCAGGGGCTCTCAGGAGCTCAGTAGTCTCTGGAGTTAACAGCAAGTCTGAGCAGGTACTTAATTACTCAATGAAGTAATACTACTTAAAGCACACTGAACTTTTAGGAGAAAAGTGCTGCATAAGCACTCTGTCTTTCTGGTTGAGGCTTGCAGCTTCAGTAACTTATCATTCCATCTATTGGACCAGGGTCCAAAGCATTTTATAATGAGTTTGTTGTTGTTTGTTTTTTTTGAGACAGGGTCTCACTTATGTATCTAACCCAGACTGGCCTCAAATTCATGATCCCCCTGTCTCAGCTGGGATTACAGGTGTGGGCCATTGTGTCTAGATGATATTTTTTATTTAGCAAAAAGACCCAACAAATCTAACTTCTTGCTTTCCCATACATTGAATTTTCTCCTACCTAATTTATCTTAGTCTTTATTATAGTTCATTTTGGCTTCATAAATTTTCCAATGGTTGGGTATATTGGTCTGCTACATTCTAGGATGGGTAAGGATGTAAGATGGCCTACAGCTAACATTGCAAATGGAGGGTTTTCCTGAACTCTTCAAGACCAGAGCATGGATCATAGTGTTTTCTTTCAGCAAAATGAAAAGGTATCTTCAGGACCTAACATATTGCTGGATGTGATACAGGTTTTCCATTTTCATGAAATTCTACAGCTCAAATTTCCCATCAGTTTCCAGGTGCTTCCTGTATTACCATCCCTTATATATAACTTTTTTTTTCTTTTTAATTTTAGATTATTTAAGTAATTTTTACCAAAGTAGCTTGCAAAGCCATGAGTTTCAGAGTTAAATGACTATCTGGTTTTCCATCCCTCACTTCCTAATGCATCAAAGCTAAATCTTCCTCTAGCAGTTAGAAGAGAAGACAACAGTGGGGGAATTTTAGAGAATTTTGAAACTCTTTATTCTTCCCATGTTCCATATGGTTTAATTTTAACATAAATAATATGCCTTCACACTGGATTGTAAGAGGCATGTGGTTTTACAATTTTATTTTGTGATATATTGTCTTCTGCAGTATTAAAGGGAAAGAAATATTAATGTGCATCACCCTATCTTGTTTTTGAGCCAGGGTAGTTGTATGATTTTTGTTACTAGCAGTGCTAACCTGAATGTGATCTGGTTACCTTGGAAATGCAGGCACTTATATGAATGTACTGTAAAATAAAATGCAGACTGATTCCCAGGATTCTAAACTCTGCCGTGTGAAATCTTTTTTGAAATGTGGAGGTGCTTTGGACAGGTGATAAAAATTCATCAGCATGTTTTCCTGACTTCTGGGAACTGGAGCTAGGGGACTGTTAGTTTGGAGGGCCACAGGGACTCATCTATGCCAGCAGGTCTCATCAGGAATGGCTGAAGTATGGGGAGTTGTAGGGAGCAGAGCCCATCTCGTAAACCAGGGCATCAAAATGAAAGTGACAGAAACTCAACCCATCAGGACCTGGAAGGAATGGTAAAAGGTGACTGAAATTATCATTTAATAGAATGAACCACTTAAAGAGGCTCACAGTTTCAGAGGTTTTATTCTGAAAGTGAGGTTGTGGTGGAACAGAGCTTTTCACCTTAGGTGAACCAGGAAGCAGAGAAAAGAAGGGACCAGAGACCAGGTAGAAACTTCAGAAGCTGGTCCCTAGTGACCCACTTCCATCAGGTAGGCCCCATCTCTTAAAGGTTTCACTACCTCCCAAAATAGCACCAGCACCACCAGCTGGGGACCAGTTGTTCAACACAAGTGTGGGAGACATTGCATACTCAAACCATGTCAATGGGGGCAGCCTCTTAAGACTTGTCAAAGAATTTGGGATATATAGGAGTTAAGAGCAACTCAGGCAAGAGTAGTCTTATGGAGACTTGTTCCCAAAAGACTCCCCCCCTCCCCCACCCCCAAGTGCATAAAGGGAAAAGCTGAGGATGAGCATTACAAGGCCTCATGGGTACCTTTCAGCTGTGACCCAGTGACCCACCCACCTTGCTGCTGCCTGGTACATGAGGTTAGTTCCCTCAGTCTCTCCCTGACAGTCATGCTCTCCTGGGAATTTCCTGTGGCTAGTCTCAGGCCATCCTATTTCTATTCAGTCTGACTCCACTAGCTTATCTCTGTAAGCAGACCAATGAACTAGAGTTCCTTCTTCTTCATACTACTTGTATTTGTTTTGCTTTGCCTTGAATTGCTCACACCTTTGACTACAGGCTTGAGGGCAGAGACTGCTTTACATAGTATTTTGTATACATATTTGTTGTATTTATAACACCAACATTTTTACTAGTATATATTAGTTGTACAGGGGGTTTTCATTATCACATTTCCAGGTATATTTACAATGTACCTTGGTTAGATTCATTCCCTCCGTCATTCTCCCTTACTCCCCTACTTAAAATAATTTCAACAAGTTTCATTGTTCGATTTTCATACAAGTATATAAAGAACATCAACCATATTCCCCTTCTTTTATCCTCTCCATTTACCCCCCCCCCACTACCACCCATCCCTAACAAGACCTGTTTTACATTCCAAAGTCATTTTTTAAGTGTATGTTAGTTCAAAGGGGTTTCACCATGGTATTTCACCCATGAATATATAATACTTTAATCAGATTTAGTTCCATCCATTTACCTACAAATGACAATTTTTTTTTTTTTTTGTGAGGTACTGGGGTTTGAAGTCAGGTCCTTGAGGTTGCTAGGCAGGCGCTCTATCACTTGAGCCACTTGGCCTGCCCAACAATTTCATTCTTTATGATTGAATAATTCTCCATTGTGTATATATACCACAATCTCTTAACCCATTTATCAGTTGTGGAGTATCTGGCTGTTGTCATAACTTGATATTGTGAATAGTGTTGGAATAAGGATGGTATTATAAGTGTCTATATAGTATCCTGACTTAACATTCCTTCAGATATATGCCCAGGAGTGGTATTGCCAGATCTGTGGCAGTAATGTTTGAGGCAACTCCATACTGCTTTCCATAGTGGTTCTAATTTACATTCCTACCAACAGTGTACAAGGGTTCCTCCCTTCCCACCCCCACATCCTCATCAACATTTGTTGTTTGTGTCCCTTTTTTTACATTTTTATTAGTATATATTCATTGTACAGTGGGTACTCATTGTGACAATCCTGATAGCCTTACATTGTTCATTAATTAGACCCCCCTCCCACCATCTCTCCCCCTCAGCCCCCCGAAACAATTTCAGAAAGCCCCTCAACCGTATTCCCACACCTTCTCCTTCACTCTCTCCCCTCCCACAAGTGCTTCCTTCCTGCCCCCCATACCTATTTACTGTCCTGTCCTTCATTTTTAATTCCAAAGTATTGTTCAAAGAGGTTCTTGATGTATCCCAGCTGTGAATGCACTGTACTTTGGTCAGTTCAACCCCCCTCTATTCCTCTCCCTTACCCTCTCCTTTCTACTCCCTATTATTCAACAGCTTTTAGTATGTGTCATTATGCCATCTATCTGCACAGATGCAATGTATTTTGATACTATTGAGAATCATCATATTTTCCTTTCCCTCCTCCCCTGAGTCCTACAGAGTAGTTCCACTATTATTAACATGTTCTACATATTAATGTGTATGTGATCTTGTTGTTTTTGTGTATATGTTTGTCTTTTGGATCTATCTTCCATGTATAAGAGAAAGCATTTGGCCTTCATCTTTCTGAACCTGGCTTACTTAACATGATGTCCTCCAGTTCCATCCACTTACCTGCAAATGACATAATTTCCTTTTCTTTATGGCTGAATAAAACTCCATTGTGTGTACATACCACATTTTCTTAATCCATTAATCAGTTGTAGTTTTTGATAGTCATTCTGACTAGAGTGAGGTGAAATCTCAGTGTCCTTTTGATTTGCATTTCCTTTATGGTCGGGGTGTTGACCATTTCTTCATGTGCTTGTTGGCCATGTACTTCTTTTGAAAATTGTCTATTCAGTTCATTTGCCTATTTGTTTATTGGGTTGTTGATTTGATAATTTAGTTTTTGAGTTCCTTGTAAATTCTGGTTATTAACCCTTGTCAGATATGTGGCTGGCATTACTGGGAGGTGATGAAAGGTAGGAGGCGGGGCCTACTTGAAGGAAGTAGGTGGGGGGGCGTGTCCTTGGGAGCTATGTCTACTTTGGTCTCTTCCTGTATCCCCCTTTCCTTCACTTCCTGGCTGCTATGATGTGAACTTCTCTGCTTCACCACCCTCCTTGCCATGATAGATGGACCTCTGAAACTGTGAGCCACAATAATCCTTCCTTCCACTTTTTTTGTATTTTGCAACAGTGATGAGAAAAGTAAATAATACAAAGACTTAACTGTCAAACCTAAACCCACTAAAATACTAGAAGAAAAGAGAGAAAAGCTCCATAGCATTTATCTGCCAGTAATTTTTTTGAATACATCATTTTTTTTTGGGTGGTACCAGAGTTTGAACTGAGGGCCTCACACTTGCTAGGCAGGCACTCTACCACTTGAGCCACTCCGCCAGCTCGGCTGTGAGGGTAACAGCCTACCACAGATGTTCTCATATTTTCAAAATTAGGTTATAATAAACTGACTTCCATCTCTGTGCACACTCTCTTCCTTTCTGTCTCTGTCTCATCATTTGCTTTGGAGGAAGCCATGTCACAATCAGCCCTATGGATGGGCCTGCATGGTTTGGAACTGAAGCCTCCTGTAACACTGTTTTCCACATGAGAAGATGCTTCAACTCTTGTCAAGTCTTCAGGAACCACAGCCCTGGCTGACAGCTTGATGACAACCTCATGAGAGGTCCTGAGCCAGAATCACTCAACTAAGCCACTGCTGATTCCTGACCCTCAAAATCTGTGAGAAGTAAACTACTGTTGTGAGCTGGTAAATTTGAAGATAATTTGTTACACTGTGATAGATATGCTTTTTATAGACCTGATTTGAGAGGAGACAGCCAGGGAAAAAGATGGAGCTTTTTTTTTTTCTAAGAGCAGTTTTTTCAATGGCTTATCTAGCTTACAGAAAGAGTTATGGTCTGCTATTCTGCATCCAGTAGAGGCTAAATAATGACCAGGGATTTGGGGATTAGCCTCTGACAGCTTAAATAGGAAACCTTAAATTAATTAGATACCTATTGTAAAACAGGCATCTTGTTTTGTACTGTTGCAGTCAGTTTTCCTGTGTAACAAGCCACCCTAAAGTTTTATGGCT